TACTCATGTTGGAAAAGTGCCTGTTAAAGAGAGAAGAGGAAGGGGATCTTTGTCCCTGTACATTATAGAGACCCAAGTGTGACACCTTAGGATGGCAATGCATTGAGGTCTGGGAGAGTTTGGTGATAATGTACAGCAGGGCTCACTTTTCCTGGGAAAGAAGGCTCACTTCCTGAAGTTTAGGCTCCTAGAGGTGGAACAGCTGGTCAGTCTGTCCATAATCCTGCTCAGAAGCCTGGATTTGTTCATTTGGATGCCTTACTCGAATTTCCAAGAACCTGTCACTCTCTCCTGAGAAAGAGGGGAGGTTCATGGTACTGCTTTCCTCTCATTCCTTCTGGAGCTTTGGCCTGTGGTTAGGACATCTGGGCATAGAGAGTTTTCACCCATCTCTGCTTTCAGATCTAAATCCAGTCTCCTTTCTGGGCTTGACATCTACTTTGATGGTTCCATTTACAGAGCTCTTTGTGGTACAGTCTAGAAGACTCCCTGCAGGGTCATCTTCCCCACCTGTGACCCAGCAAACCACCTCTAAAACCGAAGAAAAGCGCACAGCTGGTCTACAACATACTTAGACCTAAGTGTCAATTTTAGTTACATATTTTGTAAATACATTGCGGGACCCACCAAATCCTATGGACAAGGGCTTTCAGGAAGTGTAGAGATATTTGTTCATTTCTTCCTTCATCCATTCATTCATTCATTTAACAAACTTAACTGAATACATAACATGTGTCAGCCCTGTGCTGGGCTCTGGGTACAGAAGCAAATGAGAAAAAAAGCCCTCTTGCTTCAGTTGAAATATCAATTCCTCCAAAAGCCCTCCCCCAGCACTCACTCACAGACTCGGGGCTCCTGTGTGTACTACCTTTCGGGAAACCTCATTCACTTTATTGGACCTACTGTGTCTGGTTCCAGAGACCCAGAGAGACTGTACCATGTCTGTGTTAAGCAGGGAACCAACCCCCATTTCCCTGGCACACTGTGACCACAAATGATGTGTAGCTAGAATGAGTTTGCTCCCAAGTGGACTAGAAATAGAATGGCTGTCCTTCTAGGGATGTCCTTGTGTTTAGGAAATCTGTCTCCTGTGGAGGGTCAGGTTCCATGCAGAGTCCTCTGCTCTGGAGAAGGCTGGGATGAGATGATTGCCAAATTTCTTTAGACTAAATCCAGAGATCCTAGGCTGGCCGGGTTGAAGGTAACTAGAGTACAGGTGTAACCAGGTAACCAGGTAACAGGTGGCCAGCCACTCCAGGTGACAAGGCTCCTGGCCTGATCTAATTCAAGAAGGACAGACAGATGTAAGAAGGAGCTCTCTGTAGGCCTGCCGTTGACCATCCTTCACTGCAGCCCATGTGACTGTGAGCAGGTCTGCCAGAGATGGAGGTGATGTGGGAACAGGGAGTAGTGTGGTACTTTCTAGGCTTACCTCTTCCATTTCAGAGCTCTGGGTCCAGTTACACTCACTGTCGCAGTGCACAGAACCTATGTCACCAGTAACTTGGGCCCTGGTTGCTGACAGCATGGTTTTGTTCTCACTGGGCCAATAACTTCTGGCTCTGTTTTTCGGTTTCTAATAGCAACAGAAGGAAAGTTTGTTTTTTTCTGTTTGGGGACCTTATTTATTTCTCTTGTAGGATGAACTATATAACCAGATGAGGGTTGTGGGTTTGATGCCATTAGGGTCCCAGTGAGGCCTTAACCCAGGCCCTGGTAGCCAGTGTGGAAAAAGATCATCTTAGCTCTGCCCCAGGAGGTGATGTGGGCTCCATGAGTGGAGAGCTGTTGGTTCTTCTGGGATTGGATTCAGCTGCCCTTTTTAATTCTGAATGGCTAGAAACTATACACGGTAGCCACTTGCATAAGCCTATAATCCAGGAAAGGGGAGAAAAAAGAATAGGCACCTAAAAGAAAGGAATGAGGGAATGGCAAGAGAAGACAGGTGACTGTGGAGAAGGACAGTGACACCATCAGCAGCCTCATGCATCATTTTAGGACATGAAGCCAAAGTGGGGTGACCAGAGGCCTGCGTGAAAGCAGTTCTTGCTGGCAAGGGGCTTTGGGTTCCCACTGAGACAGAACTACCATCTTGAATGGATGAGCAGGTGGATGAGTGGATGGAGGAATAAATGAATTGAGACAAAAAAAAATGAGGATTGAGTAGTAAAATGGGAAAGGTGAAAAATAGTGAACTATAAGAGCATCTTATGAGGGGGTCTAACCATTTTAGGGTGGCTAAGAGGACCTTGATCCTCCCTCCTCTCCAATCTCCCAAAGTAATCCTAAATAAACACAGAATCTGGGCGAAGCATAGAGTGTTTACACAGTATACATTTTGAGAAAAAGTTTCCAATCTCCCATATCTGCCACCTCTTCATTTCCATTTCTTCCTTTAAGAAAACCCAGAGTTGGCTATGGCGGCCCGTGCCTGTCATCCCAGCGCTCCAGAAGGCTGAGGCAGAAGGACTGAAGTTCAAACCCAGTTGGGGCAGTTTAATGAGACTCTGTATAAAACAAGAACAAAAACAATAACAATAACAAGACAAAAAAGAGTGGGGATGTAGCTCCCTGGGCCCAATCCCCAATACTGCCAATGAACAAAACCAAACCCAACCCAGCAGAATCACTCCTGTTCACCTGCAAGGCCTTGTGTCTGCTTTTTCTGACTCCCATCTAAATGTATTCAAGCTGTGGACAGACAGGCGAGGACCTGAAACGTGATTAGAAGGGTAGGGAAAATAAGCTGTAGATTCCTTTGAGAGTAGAAAGCATTAAAGAGCCTTAAATCTTTCAGTCACTCCTACTTAGGGATTTGGGGTATTGATTACTCTCACAATCACAAATCATTGGGGGGATTGTCTCTTCTCGCCCTTCAGTAAAAAATGTTAAGTACAGGCTTTTTCCCAGGAAAGACTCTGAGGCAATAGTTCATAGGAGTCAGGGTCAAAGGTCAGGGGTCAAAGGGCTACACCCTGTAAGTCTTGAACCAAAAACATAAGCAGCCAGCTCAGAGGTGAGCAAGCCTCTTCTTTCATGAGAAGGCTTCATCAGAAACCAGAGGGACACAGTGAGTCAGGTCACAAGGGCTCCCCATGGTGAGATAGGTCAGAAGGGGGTCGAGCAGAGGCTGGAGAAGGGGTGTCTTTCTTAAGTCCCTCCATCTCAGGGACCTACTGACTCACTGGGGAAGTCCCTGAAGGTGGATTCAGTGCACACACCATGTGACTGTGTTCTCAGATAAGTCTAGTTTGCCTTAATGTCAACAATAATGGGAATACTGGCCTTTCTTCTAAAAAGGAGGAAATACGATGTTCAAGCTGATGCAAGAGAAAGGAAAGGAGGTCTGACTGCCAGAAAAGCATCAGCTTCATTCAAAATCTCAGGAGTTATGAAGTCAAGAGAGAGGGCAGGGAGGACCCAGGAAAGCCGCCTTGGAGGCTTGGCACAGAGGCCTGAGGTGGGCGAGGGGAAGGAGTATTATATGTGGGGCACGGGTCAAGTGAGCCTCCAGGAAAAACCATCACCCCTGGAGGGTGAATGGCTTGCTTTGTCATAAGCCTCCACAGGGCTGCTTTGAACTCGAAGAAACCAAGGTACACCATGCAGAAACACCCTTCCCAGGAAGCTGAGCAGTTTAATGGATTTTCACATAGGGGTGGGAGACCATCTCATCCTCCCTTTCTCAGGGGTCTGGGCATGCATGCCTGAGTGGTTCATGTCTGCCTATGGTCTTCATGAGTCTTTCAGGGTAGACTGTGGTGAACCCTCTGGCTCTTCCATTTGTGGATTTCTTCCACTGTCTCTCTGGCTTCCGCTTCTAAATCTGCTTCAGCCTGGGGAGGCAACGGTACTTCTTAGCTCTGACCATCTTGCTTTCTTACCTCAAGCCTAGACTTTAATAAGACTAACTTTCAAACACTTTGCTCTTTATTAAAGTTCTTACTTTACTAGTATTGTTGATCTGTGTTTCTGATTAAAAAATAATAGCCAGGCATAATGACACTGTTTGAAGCCTCAGTTTCTTGGGAAACTGAGGCAGAAAGATCATTTAAACCCAGGAGTCTGAGACTGGTCTGGAAAACAGCAAGACCTCATCTCAAAAATGAATGAATGAATGAAGGTTTAAAAATAAGTCTTCTTCAGGAAGCACATATCAGATGGGAAAAGAGTTCCTTGTGTGCTGAGCCTTACTGACCAAGGCTGAAACCTTTGCTGCTTGTGTGAGTTTGACCTTGATGATGATCCCCGAGGGATGGTAGCCTGCATGTGATGGATTTCTTTTTGCCTCCTGCTCTCTAAGCCCTCACCAGTTGTTTTCTGTTGCTGAACTCTGGAAGAAGGATTTAGAATATCCTATGAAGCAGAGCAGCCAAGCTACAAATTCCAGGATAGTAGTAAAAGACTAAAAAATGGTAAGAGACCAAACAGGGTGCTTCTTTCTCCCAATCTATTGCTGTAGTGCAGCCTCCTGAGTTTGAGCTTCTCATTTCTAAGAACTTGTGTTAGTTAGGGGCATTTCAAAGGGAAACTGAGGCTGGGGTCAGTGCTGTGATCTGCCTAACGCCTTACATTTAATGGGCCATAGGCAGTTCACATTGAAGGACACCTTCAGTAACCGTATAGTATCAGCATTCTGATAGGAAAAAGGCAAAGGAGAACTTAATAAAGCAGAGTTTGGGGGAGCTCATAGAGGAAGACTCTAGCTTTTGTAAAATAAAGGAGACATTGTCATTCCTGAGTCTGCAGGGTCATGATTCAGCAGGAAAAGAACTGGGGGGAATAAACAATCCTTCTGCTTTCCAATTTCCTGTGCCTATTGCGCCTTGTCTGAGCACAACTAGAAACCAGAGGTCGGAGATGCCTCATTAATGCAACATCCACAGCTCAGTCCTCTGGGGCACAGGACAGGGTACTGGGTGGTGAGTGAGGCTGGAAAAGCAGATGGAAGATACCCACCTAGAAGCACTGATGAGATGTATTTATTTCTTTATTTTCAGTGCTACGGAGCTCTTCTGCTGGCTTGGGATTTGCTTTTAATAATTTCCAGCCTTTCTGCTTTTTTCTCCGTTGAAATACCTGTCGCTGTGTGGCTTGCAAGTGATATGTTTGCTACTTCCCCAGACTGTGAGGGCCTCTGCTGTGGTCATCAGTGCTTAGTTTATGGGCCTTCTCTTGGCCGCCACTTCTTTATCAAAACTGATTCTGAAGAGTCCTGCTGTTGGCCGTGACAAAGCAACAGGATCCAGATTTATCCTCTCATTGTAAACAACTGGAAAAGGGAACAACGTAATGTACTGATGGCTTCAGATATTGCACAACAGGCTAGGCAGGACTGTAATCTCTCAGATAAAGGAAACAAATGAGGTGAGTCCTCTGATCGCCCCAGTTTCTGATTGGAGGCAGAGTTTGGACTTCCCAACAGGAAAGGAATGTCAAGCAGAGCACGGAGGTCATGCTGATTTGAAAGACAGAAATAAACGTCTGAAAGAGTTTAGATGGGAGCTGTGGGACAGTGTTCTAGAAAAAACAAGGCTGCGTAGAAAAGGCTCCATGAAGGCCCACTGAATGCTTGCTTAATCCTAAGACACACACAGAATGAAGCTTCCTCAGACTGGGGAAAGAGCAACTAGCAGGTATGAACTGAACAATCCAGGAGGTTCACAGGAGACTGTGAAATGAATATCTACCAACCAGCTTGATCATCCAGGGCCTTTAGTAGAGATCATGTCCAAGTACCCAAGGACTGAACTACCTTTGGGGTATTTAAAAAGAAGAAAGAAGAAAGAGAGAGAGAGAGAGAGAGAGAGAGAGAGAGAGAGAGAGAGAGAGAGAAGAAAGAAAGAAAGAAAGAAAGAAAGAAAGAAAGAAAGAAAGAAAGAAACTTAGACTCTTCCTGACAAAGTGTAAACCAATCCTTAAAGGGATAATACCCATAAGTAAACTAATGGCCTATCAGATAAAAACTCAATATTTTTTTTTTTATTTTGACCTCGGGTCTCATGAATGAGTCCAGGCAGGCCTTGAACTCCCCCATGTAGCCCCAGGCTGGCCTTCAATTTCCAGTCCCCCTGTCTCATCCTCCCACCAGGCTTGGCTTAAAATTCAGTGATCTTTAAGGGAAGATAAAGTAACTCACAGACAAAACAAAAGCAAAAAGCACAAATACTTCAAAATATTGTTTGTACCCGATAAAAGCAAACTACTGGACTCATCAGGTAGTGGTGATCCAAGAGGAACATCAGTTACAGGAGCATTCCGAAAAGTGACAAGAGTTGACCAAATGAGAAGAAAGGCGCGTTCATAGCTGTTATGAGTATGCAAAAATGTGCTCAGGAATTTAGGGGAAAATGAGAATGGGAAGATACAAAAGAAGAACCAAATAGAACGTTCAGTGATGAAAGAACGCCACATCCAAAGTCAGCGGCTGGAATTAAAAGCAGATTGGAGATCACTGGAGAAAAAAGGGAAATAAAAATATATTAACAGAAACTCTCCAAAGTGAAGTCCAGAGGGGAAAACAACTTAAAAAATAAAAAGAAAGAAAGAAACAATCTCAGTAACATGATGGGCAACACCAAATGGTATAATATACAGAAAGAAGAGGTGAACAAATTCTTGACAAAATCATGATCGAAACTTTGATATAAAAAACGAACTATCAGTACTAGTGAGCAAAAAATACAATGAAACTCAAATTTAAAACACTTTAAGGTAAATCATTATTAAAGTATTAAAATTAATAAGAGGAAATTTTAAAAGCATCTTGAGAAGTAACTGTAACTTACGGAACTTTACAGAGTCTAAGAGACATTGTCTACTTCTGATTAGAGCTAGGCAAACCAGAAGACAGTGCGATGATATCTTTAAGGTACTAAAAGAAAAAAAAAAAAAAAGGATTAACCTAGAATTCTGTATCTAGTGAAAATATACTTAAAAAGTAAAGGCACAATAAAGATTTTGAGATGAAATTTTAAGAGAGTCCACCACCAGCCAACTTGCATCACAAGAAATGTTAAAGGAAACTCTTTCAGAGAAGAAAAATAATATTTGGGTATACATAAAAGAATAAAGCATGCAGAAAGAGTAAATATGAGGGTCAATACTGAATCCTGTTTTTCATTTAGAAAACTCTTTTTATTTATTCTTCTTCTTCTTTTATTTTTTGAGACAAGGTCTTGCTATGTAACACAGGTTGACCTCAAACTTACCATCCTTTTGCCTCAGCCTCCTGAGTGCTGGGATTCCAGACAAGGGCCACCACAGCTGGCTTAAAAAACTCTTTAAAATATTGAAGCAAAAATGATAACAAAGTACTATAGAATTATAACATGTGGAAAAGTAAAATTTATAACAATAGCACAAAGAACAAAGGTATAAGATATAAAATATTCAGTAAATTTTTATTTATTTATTTTTTAGAAATAGAAGTAGCTTTATTTAAAAGGAAAAAAATTTCAAAGTCCATTTTATTTCAGGGAGAAAAAGAAAAAAAAAACTAAAATGAAATTTCAGGGCAACAATGGTGATACATTGCACATTGTCATCCCCAAATCATTCACCCAGAGCACAAGACACCTGCGTTCAATTGCCCGAGCAATTCCAGCAAAAAATCTTTCTCTTCCATGACCTCAGAGAAATCAATAGTATAACTATCATAACTACTTTTTATATGCATATACATATACATATACATATACATATACATATACATATACATATGTTATTTCTTTCTGGGGTAAGGTGGAATCTCAATGTTATTTTAATTTGCATCTCTTGAATGACCAGTGATGTTAAACATTTTTTCACATATTTATTTGCTGTTTGTATTTCTTCATCTGAGAAATCTGTGTTCACTTCAGATGTCCATTTTTGGATTAGGTCTTTAAATTTGGGAGGACTGATTTTTTTGAGTTCTTTATATGTTCTCAATAGTAACAGCTGGCAAACATTTTCTCCCATGTTGTGAATTGTCTCTTCACTGTTGATTTCTCTTGCTGTGTAAAAGCTTTTCAGTAGGGTGAGATTCCAGTTGTTGATTCTTTGTGATCGTTTCTGTAGGATCAGGGTTTTATTCATAAAGTCTTTGCCTACACCAATGTCTTCCAGAGTTTTACCTACTCTATCTTTTAGCAGATTTAATGTTTCTGTTTTAATATTAAGATCTTTGATCTATTCTGATTTTAGCTTGGTACGTGGAGAAAGGAATAGGTCCAGTTTTAATCTTCAGCATGTGTAGAGCCAGTTTTTCCAGCACCATTTATTAAAGAGGCTATCTTTCTTCCAGTGAATGTATTTGGCACCTTTGTCAAAGATTAGGTGAGTTAGTGTGTCTGGAGTTGTTTTTGCATCTTCTAATCTGTTCTACTCATCTTTGGGTCTTTTTTTTTTTTCTGTTAGTATCACATTTTTTTTTTCTTTTGTAATCACAGTAGCTTTATAGTATAATTTCAAATCAGGGGTTGTGATGCTTCCTGTTTTATATTTGCTGCCCAGGATTACCTTTGCTATTCTAGATCTCTTCTGGTTCTAGATGAATTTTAGGATTGTTTTCTCGATCCACTTTTTTTTTTATTTTGAAAGTAGTAAAACACAACAGAACAAGACAGAACAAAGCTAAATGAGACAATGAAGTGAAACTGGTACAGAATGTCACAGCAGGTTACCAAGATAATAGTAATTTCTAGTATATCTTGTTATCTTCACAATAGTTGTCCTTTCAATCTAGTATAGCAAAATCAAACCAAATACAGAACATTATAGAACTTATCAAAACAGAATATTGAATAGAGCAATACAATTAATCAGAACAAAGCAAAACAGTGATAACAATGTTTGCTTTCAAAGAGACTGTAGACGGAAATCCCCCATATTTGCTATACTGCATATGATCAACCTCCAGAGAGATGCTCAGACCTCTGGCTCCATTTGCTAACGGGGGTGGGGCTGGGAGGATGGGATGTTTGATTCTCAGCCCATGCACTGGTAGTCTCATGGGTGCTTACCAGGGAGGCGAGCCGGTTGCTTTCTTTCCCAGCACCCTAAGTTCCAACACGGAGATGCTGTCTGTTTCTCTCCCTGGGGTGTCCTTGTTTTCTCTAATTCCGTGAGATATGCTATTGGAATTTTGATTGGGATTACATTGAATCTGTATAACAGTTTTGGGAGTATGGCAATTTTACTATATTTCACTATATTTGTTCTTCTCCAAGATCATGGGATATATTTCCATTTTCTAATACCCTCTTCCATCTTCATTTTCAAGGTACTATAGTTTTCAATGTAGAGGTTTTTACATCGCTTGTTACACTGATTCCAAGGTATTTCATTTTTTGGGAAGCTATTATAACAAGTATTGTTTTCCTAATTCCTTGCTCAGTGAGATTGTTATTCATGTACAGGAAGGATATTAATTTTTGAGTGTTGACATTGTAACCAGCTACATTACTGAATTTGCTTATCACATCTAGTAGTCTTTTGGTAGAGTTTTTGGGATCTTCTAAGTAGAGAATCATGTCATCTGCAAATAATGATACTTTAACTTCTTCCTTTTCTATCTTTATTCCTTTTATTTCTTTTTCTTATCTAATTGCTCCAGCTAAAGTTTCCAGGACTATATTGACTAAGAGTGGAGAAAGTAAACATCCTTGTCTTGTCCCTGATTTTAGGGAGAAAGCTTTCAGTTTTTGTTCATTTAGTGTGATGTTGGTTTGTCATAGATGGCTTTTATCAGATTGAGATAAAGACCATCTGCTCCAGTTTTCTATGGAATTTTTTTTTTTTTTTTAGTCAAGAATCAGTGCTGAGCTTCATCAGAAGCTTTTTCTGCATCTATTGAGACAATCATAATTTTTGTCCTTGGCTCTGTTAATATGATATGTTACATTTGTTGATTTACTTTTGTGGAACCATCCCTGCATCACTGTTTGCCAGTATCTTATTAAGGATTTTTGCATCTAATGTGCATTAGGGAAATTGGCTTATAATTCTCTTTCATAGTTGGGTCCTTCTCAGTTTTGGTATCAAGGTAATGCTTGCTCTGAGGAATGAATGTGGAAGTATTGCTTCCCTTTCAATTTCATTTGAAAAGCAAGGTGTTAGGTCTTCTCTAAATTTCTTGTAGAATTTAATAGTGAATCCATCAAGGCCTGGGCTTTTCTTTGTTGATGGATTTTTAATTATATCTTTCATTACATTTATTGATATTGGGTTATTTAGGATTTTTATGTCTTCTTGATTAAACTTTGGTAATCCATATGTGTCCAGGAATCTGCCCATTTCTTCTGTATTTTCCAACTTACTAGAATACAAGTTTTTAAAGTAGGTATAGATGATTTTCTGGATTTCTGCAGGGTCTGTTGTGATTTCACCCTTTTAATTCCTAATTGCATGGATTTGAGTCTTTTCTTTCCTTTTTTGATAAGGTTGCCTAAGGATTCCACAATTTTATTTAACCTTTCAAAGAACCAACTCTTCGATTCATTGATTCTTTTATTGTTTTTTAGTCTCCAGTGTGTTACTTTCTGGTCTGATCTTTATAATTTCCTCCCTTGCATGAGCTGCTCTTCTTTTTTTAAAAGTTTGAAGTTCACCACTAAGTTGTTTATATGTGCTTGCTCTGTTTTCCTGATATGGATATTTACTGCTATAAAATTCCCTCTAAAGGCTGCTTTCATCGTGTCCCACAAGTTCCAGTATTGTTGTATTGTTTTTATCATTCAACTGTAAAAACTAATTTCTTTTTAAATTTTGCCTGTGACCCATTGGTTGTTCAGTAGGGTGCTATTTAATTTCCATGTGTTTATGAAGTTCTTGTGGTTTCTTTTGCCTTGGATTTCCAATTTCATTGTGCAATTTCATTCTGATAGTATGCATGGGGTAATTTCAATTTTTTTGCACTACTTAGGCATGTTCTATGAGCCAGTATATTGTCTGCTTTGAAGAACATCCTATGTGTAGCTGAGAAGAATGTGCATTCTGATGTTGTAGGGTGGAACACTTTATATACATCTACTGAGTCCATTTGTTCAGAAGCTTGATTTAGTTTAATATTTCATTATTGATTTTACATTTAGTTGATCTGTGTTTTTCTGACAGTAAGGTATGGAGGTCTCCCAATACAATTGTATTAGTATTTATTTGATTTTTCATGTCCATTAGTAATTGTTTTATATTGCTGGGCACACTGGTATTTGTTGCACATATATTTATGCATGTTATCTCTTTCCTCTTGGATTGGTCCCTTTACAAGGATGTATTGATCTTCCTTATTTTTCTTAATTAGTCTTGGCTTGAAATTCACATTTTCTGCAAATAGAATAGCTACCCATACTTTTTTCTGTGTTCTTGTCACATACAGCATTGTTTTCCATCCTTTGACTTTCAGTCTATGAATTTCTTTTTGAATTAAATGTGTTTCTTGTATGCAGCATATTGTTGGATCTTACTTCTTGATCCATTCTGCTAATTTGTGTCTTTTGACTGATGAATTGAGGCCATTAACATTGATGGTTATAACTGAAATGTATTGACTTATCCTTGTCATGTTGTTTTCCTGTTGTTGGATCTCCTATTTCCCCCTCCCCCTTTTATTCTAATCGTTTACCCTCCCTGGTGAATTCCTTTTGTTGGGGTTCATGGAGCAGTGTCCTTATTATCTCTTTCTAGAATGTCTTTTAGAACATTTTGGAGTGCTGGTTTGGTGGTTATAAATTTCCTCAGATGTTCTTTGTCATGGAAGTGTTTTATTTCTCCATCAATTTTGAAAGATAGTTTGGGGGGTACATCAATCTGGATTGAAAGTTGTTTTCCTTTAGAACTTGGAATACTTTACTCCAAGCTCTTTTTGACTTGAGCATTTGTGCTGAGAAATCAGTTGTAATTCTGATGGGCTTTCCTTTATAGGTGATTTGTTTCTTTTCTCTAACAGCTATTCTTGTGTTGACTTCTGGATTCTTGACTATGATATGCATGGATGTAGATTTTTTTTTTTTTGGACCACTGCTAATTGGAGTTCCATATGCCTCATTTATCTATACATCAAATTCTTTTTCTCTACCAGGAAAGTTTTCTGTCATGTCTGTGAACAGTATTTTAATGTCATTTATGATATCAACTGCTTGTTCATAGACTCCAATTAATCTTATGTTATTCTTCTTTGTTTCATCTAGCAGCTGCTGAGTTGATTTTTTTATGGTCCCTTGCTATTTTTGAGAAATATTTCTTTTTTTGGTCACTAACTGCAAGCCTATCTTCAATATCTGGGATCCTGTCTTCACATTGGCTTAATCTGCTTTGAATACTTTCAATGGAGTTTTTATTCTCCTGGAAATCTGCTTGAATCTACTTTATGGATTCCCTTTCTTTCTTGTGCTGATCTTCCATAATTTTCTAAAGCTCATCTATTTTTTTGTCTCTGTCTGCTCTAATGTCGCAAAGCATGGTGTGCATTTTGGTAATCTCTGTAGTTATCTGAGAGATTATTTCTGATCTCGTCTTTTCCAGAGCCTCACTCAATTGCTCACTGTTTCCACTTCAGAGAGCCGTGGTGGGCGGCTTTCAGATTGTCCCACCTCATTGCCCTCTGTATTTGTCTTTGGTGGGCAGGATATTGGGCTACATTTTGCTTAAGTGTCCTCTCATTTTCTTTTCTCTCTCTTGTTTAGTTTAATTCTTGGGGTGATGCTTGTAAGTTGCCTATGGTGGGTTGCTATGGTAAGGGGCCTATGGTAGGCCCCTTAGGTGATGATTACTTCTTTGAGGTATCTTCCAGGTGTTTTGAGTCTGTTTGATCTTATCTCTTCAGTTTGCTGAAAATGAGAAATTGTTGCTTGTTTGGCCTCGTCCCTGGTTCTTTGGCACCATGTTACCAAATTTTCTGTGCAAAACTTAATTTTTCATTCCTTCTCGTCTTCCTCACAATGTTATATTCCAGCACCTGGATGTGTCTCTCTGAGAGGCTGTTTTCTCTGTTGCTTACTGCTCTGCCATCTTCCTAGAAATCACAATGAATGTTCAAATTGAAAAATTTAAAAGACATATTGCATTAATTCCCCTCACTTGATTAGAATGCCCGTATTTATTGTTCTTTCCACTTTCTGAAGCAATTCTGAAACTCCTCTTTTGCAAGCTTTTCTTTATGATGTATGATAAAAAATACAGCGAATGCTAGTCCAAGTACCATCCCACAGAAAGGCAGGTATATAAAAACATCATGTTCTGGGCTGGGATATAGCTCAGAAGCACTGGTGCCTGCCTGGCAAGCACAAGGTCATGAGTTGGATCCCCAGTACTAAAAAAGCCCAAAACGTTACATCCTCATCCACTTTATTCATCATATTTGAAACCTTGCAACTTCTGATTCTTTTTCAAAGTCAAAATGATCATGAAAGGTAAATGTTCTGAATCATTTCAGGACATTGAGGCAGCCATGACAGCGTGACTAAAGACACTTACAAAAGAGGACTTCCAGACCTGCTTCAGAAAGTGGCAAGAATAGGTAGGTGAGTTTGAAGAGAGGAGAAGGATTTTGTGGGGGATTAATGGCAACGTACCTTTTACTGTACTGTTTAAAAAATTTAAGCATTCACTAAATTTGTTGATCATATATTAATGCATGTATAGCCAAAAGTAAGTATGCCAGATAAAATTTAAAAACCCAAAAGAAGGCAGGGAAAGATGCAAAAAGAAAGGAAGAACAAACTGGAGAGATAGAAAATAAATGGTAAGTTGGTATACCTAATCCAAATGTGATTCATTTATTTATAATGAAAGAAACCTTTTTAATTTTTTATTTATTTTTTAAAGAAACTTTTTAAAGATAAAAACACAAACAGTTCAAAAGTAAAAGAACAAGAAAAAGTTATGTCATGTCACACATCATAAGTAAGCTGGAATTTGTTATGGCTTGTGTCTGGATGTCCCCCCAAAACCTCATGTTCTCATGAAAGGGGCTTTGACAGGTGACTGGGTCATGGGTGTGGGACACTGGGTTACAGGCGTGTGATACTCCACTGTTGTGTCTATGGCTGGGCATAGTGTCGGGGGATGAAGCCTGGTAGATAGAGGTGGGTCACTGTGGGTGTGGCCTGTAAGTGTTTTATCTTTCCTCATCTTCCCTTCACCTTCTTTGCTTTCGACTGCCAAACCAAGAGCTGGCTTTCCTCTGCTGTGCCCCTCTGCCATGCTGCCCTGCCTTAGGCCAGCCAACTGTGGACTGAAACCTCTACAAACTGAACCAAAATAATTAATACCAACATAATTAATGAAAAAGTAACTAAAACGTAATTATACAAAAAGAAGATCCAAGAGCAAGTAATATCAACAGAGTTTTAAAAATAGATGATTTATTTATTTGTCTTTTTCTTTTTTATCGGTACCCTTCACAACTGCACACTTGCAAGGCTGGCGCTTATGCCGCTGAGCTAAATCCCCAGCCCCCCAAAATAGAAGATAAAACACTCCTAAACATGTGCATCCATTAACAGAATTTATTATACATAAAATAAAAATTGGCAAAACTTAAAGATGAAATAGACAAATCTACAGTTACATCACTCTCAGGAACTGATAGAAAAGTTAGGCAGTAAGTTATTAAAAATATAGAAAATTTGAATAATACCACCAATCTGTGTGACCTAACTGACATTTACAGAACACTCCACCCAACAATAGTAGAACATCTATTTCTTTTCAAATTCCAGAGGAACACCCACCAAATTGGATTATAATTGGAGCCATAAAAAAGAACTAAGGCATGTTTTAAAAATTTGAAATCTTTTCACAAAATAATTAAGTTAGAAGTAAAAACCAAACAGATGTTTGGAAAACAACCAACTATTTGGAAGCTAAACATTATATTTTAAATAATCCCTGGGTCAAAGAAGAAAATGTGAGGATAATTTAAAATTATTTGAAATGAATGAAAATTTTAAAAAGAAAACATGAAAACATCATTTTTGAGTGTATTTTAAGAAAAAAATAAAAACAGTGCTGTTTATTATTTTTACCATATTGTGCAACAATCACCACCAATTCCAGAACATTTCCGTCACCTCCAAAAGAAAATATCTATTAACTATAGCATCTACTTCCTCCTCTGTCCGTTTCCTGGAAACCGTTAATCTATATTCTCTTTCAATGGATTTGTGTATTCTGGACATTTCATATAAATGGAATTCAACACCATGTGGCCTTTTGTGTCTGGCTTCTTTCAGAATTTAGAGTTTTAAATTCTTATGTTAGAAAAAGAGAAAGTTTTATTTTTTTGAACATGGTTACCAACATAATTAACAGGGTTAAAACAGTCTTCTCAATAAGTGATATTAGACTTACAGTTATCAATGGATAAAAGAATGAAACTGGACCTGCATCTCCTGCTATGGACAACAGAAAATGAAATCAGGTGGCATGGTGGCACACACCTGTAATCCCAGCGCTCAAGACTGAGACAGCAGGCTTGTAAATTTCTGCCCAGGCTGGCCAATTTAGCCAACTTAGTGAGACTTTGTCTCAAAATAAAGATTAAAACAAAGGGCTGGGGATATAGCTCAGTGTGAAGGCACTGTGTTCAATCCCTGATCCGAGAACAGAAAACTCTCAAAATGGATCAATATAGCTGAAAATTTAACAACTAAAAATATAAAACTCTTAGAAGAAACATGGATGTAATGGATTGTAGAAGGCTACAATCAATAATGGAATGGGAAAAATATTTGCAAATCAGAGATATGATAAAAGACTTATAGACAGAATATATACATAATTTTTTTTTTGTCTTTTTGAGACAAGCTTTCACTGTGCAGTTCAGGCTGGTCTTGAACTCACAGCAGTCCTCTTATCTCAGCCTCCCAATGTGCAGGGATAACAGGTGTGCATCACCATGCCTGGCTATATACATAACTTTTACAATGAAACAATAAAAAGATAGACAACATAATTTTTAAAAATGGGTGAAGGATTTGAATGGCCATTTCTCTAAAGTAGTTGTACAAACAGGGCTGAGGATGTAGTGCGGTGGGGGAGTGCTTGCCTAGCATATGCAAGGCCTTCAGCTCCATCTCCAATCGCCGCTGCCCAAACCTTGAAAAGCTGCACATTTTCAGTCACTAACAAATCAAAATCATGGTGAGATATCATACCTCCTGGGAAGGATATCATAATAAAGAAAAGACAATAGCAAGTGTTCTGAGAATGTGGAGCATTTGGAACCCTCAAATATTTCTAGCTAAAATGTTTAAACTTGGAAAAGTTTAGTGATTCCTCATAAAATAAAGCAGAGTTACCATATGATTCACAATTCCACTCTTAGATACATATGTAACCAAGTATTGAAAACACAGGTCCACACACATGTGCATGAATGTTCTTAGCAGAAAAATATTAGTAAAAATGTGAAACAATCCAACTATGCACTTGTGATAGTAGATAAACAAAATGTGGTGTATGTGACCCATGGAATGTTATCAGCTTTGTATCATGAATTCTGATATATGCTAAAACAGGATGGATCTGAAAACACTATGCAAATTGAAAGAATCCAGAACAAAATATCATATATTGTACAATCCCGTTTGTATCAAATGTCAGATAAGCAGATCCATATAGACAGACTGTGGAGTAATGGCTGCCAGGGGCGGATGGAGGGAGGAATGGGGAGTGACTACTAATAGATTTTTTCTAGGGTAATGAAAATATCTTTAAATTAAACAGTAATGATGGTTGTACCGCCTTGTGCATATACTTAAGGAGCCTGGGAAATTCCACCTCAAAATGTGCCACACCGGCATGCTAATTATTTTCAGACAAGGCCCTTGGAAAGCAGCTGATGCAACAAGAGGCTTGGCTGATATTCCCTTATCTTTCCAAAAGCCAGACTTGCCAGAAAGGAAAAACAATAACCTTTGGTTCACTCCTTGAGGTTTCGCTAACTAACTCACGGTGTGAGAAGGAAAACAGGCAGATCTGCACCTCGGCAGACTTTGTCCTAAGCTATCATCTATGTCCCCGGTCCATTCATTATTCTAAGGAGATCATTTATGTTCTCTTGACCTATCCATCCTCTCAGCAGCCATTTGCTACTCTTCAAATACAATCGCCTACGTTCCTCCCTGTCCCTCTGGCCTATGAAGACAAGTAGGCGGCCGTCTGAATCTTGCTGGCTTGGTGGGATTCACACTCCTGTGATTTCCCTCCATACATGCTAAATAAATCTGTGTGTCTCTTTCTCCTGTTTGTCTGTTGTCAGTTCATTCCAGTGACCCTTTGGCGGACAAAGGGGGAAATTTTTTCTTTGTCCCTATAATTCTACAAGTCATTTTAAAGTATATAGTTTAAAATAATACATTTTATGGTGTCCGAATTACATTTCAATAAAGGAAAATAAGGTTCTGATGAAAAAGAATGTCACCCACTATTGATAATAGATAGACTTAGTGTGAGGCTAACTCCCTCCAAACATTACAGAATCTATTCTTTGTTTCTTCATGATAAAATATACATAACATACATTAGTGTTCCAGCTGTTCTGAGTGTACATTTCTGTGTATTCAGTTCCTTTATAGTGATCTGCAACCACACCCACTCATCTCCAGAACTTTTTCATCTTGCGAAATAAACTCTGTAACCATGAACTCCCCATTCTCCTCTCCCCTCCTCAGCCCTAGCAATGAACATTCTACTTCCTGGCTGTATGAATTTGACCTCCCTGGGTTCCTCATATACGTAGAATCATACAATATTGCTGTTTGTCTTTTAGTAAGGTAAAGGGTCATGTGGATCCAGAGCCGGTCCCTGGACTGGGTGTCTGCTGCCAGCCCAGGAGGACAGGAGAATCTGTAATGCAAAAACAGGCCCCGTCAGCATCAGGACGGCTCCCTGCACTATGTCGACAGCTGGAAATTCTTTCTGCTCTTCTGAGTGTTACAAACAGGCGACTTCTCAAGCCCAGTCCCAAACACAGGAATTCTCCCTTCGTCAGTCTGTCTCCTGGGCCCTATCGAGACAGCTGGACTTCCCACGCAAACGACTACACTCAGCTGTGACTGCCTTTCCCAGGGCAGCCTGCTCCAGCTCACCCTTGACAGAGAGCACAGGCTACTTGACAGCAATGGTTGGTTTGCTGTTCCAAGCTGCACAGAGTGCGACATGGCACATTTTCCAAATGTTGTTCTCTGCTGCTTGCAGCAGCTAATGTAATCTCCACCTCCTTGGGTTAGGATGACAATGTTATTACTTGTCCAGTTCTTTGAAATTCATAGCAAGGATTTGAGTCTTGTGCATGACCCTTCCATCGGATTTTATGAAACTGAATAAACAAATTCTTTGTTATTAAAATAGAAAATCTTTCACTGGATTGGGGTAAGGCCACAGCTGGATTGAAAGCAAGAAGACCCCAAAATAGAGGTGGATTTTATAGGCTCCGGATGTCCCAGGTCGAACCTGGAGAGCTGAGTGCATCCTGGGCTGTGTGTGCCCAGACACAGGGATCTGTAAATCTTTCCCAAGTGACAAAGCTTAGCTTTCTCCAGATCCCCATGTGAGAGCACTGATGGCTACCATTGTGGGCAGCCCCACAGACAGCCGGGGCCCTGCTCAACTTCTACAAAACACATTAGTTTGCTGATAGGTTTTTGTGTCCTGCCAGGAACTATAAGAATTAATATGCTTCAGAAATCCTTCTACACTAAAAGACGATGCTGCAAGGCGGGTGGGAGGAGCTCTTCTACTTTGCAGAAGAGCCAGTTACAGGCCATGAGGGTTGAAGGCATAGCAGGAATATCTCAACAGGCAAGAGACATTTCCGCTACAGACTTTATAAGGTGGTACCTCCACGGCTGAAAGAAGACAGGAAGCTACTGCCCTAGAGCTTCAGAAAACTCGATGACACGCACTTGCTGTTAGATACTAAATGTGGACCAGGAAGTGGTGGTGGCAAACTAGATGAGGTAAGACCTTGGGTGGGTTTGGATAAGCCCCGGATACTCATCCACAGTCTCTCGGTTCTGGCTCGAGTCCACCCACTTTGTAGGAGGAAGAGTGGAGGAGCAGCTGATGCACACATGGAGGGCACATGCAGTCAGGCTTTGGGCAACTGAGCTTGCAGTTCCTTATTTGCCTGAGTATTGTCAGGAATCAGGAGAGCTGGACTGAGATGTGATTCTGCTGTTTCCTCTCCTTCTGACCTGGGCCCAGCTCTGGCTACAGCTTTATCATCTGTGAAATGAGGGAATCAGATCTGGTTCAATGGCAACCAGTTTACTAACTACACATTCAATACATATAGGGATTGTTCCTGGGTTTTCAGGGCTACACAAACATGGATATCACACACACACACACACACAATACACACACACACACACACACACACACACACACACACACACAGTTCAGTGCAGTTGTAAGAGGGGAAAAACCAGTATTATAAGGCAGAGTGGAGGAGGATTTGAGAGCAAAAGAGAGGGTGTTTCTGCCAGATTAAAACAGTGCATCAAAAGAGGGACCAGAAAACTGGATGAGTGCATATTGGTAAGCTCTGTGAGCAGGAATTAGGTGGCTATGAGCAGAGTGCAGGTGCATCTTACACAGCAGATCCTCAGCAACAGCTGCTGAGTGACACTGGCAGCAGTGAAGACCGGGCCGGCAGGGTAGGCAGGTCCGTGCTGCTGGCTGGGGAGGACGTGCGTCTGAATTTCTGCAAGGAAAAGGGGTCAGTAGAGTGGGCTCTGTGTCAGAGGACCAGTGGACTACAAGAGAGTCGTAGAAAATGTCCAGGAGAGGGAAGGGAAGGGCTCACATTTAGATGACTTCCTGGAGGTGGTGAGAGATCTCAAAAGCAGTACAGAAGAGGATTCTTTTGGGTTCCAGAAGCAGATCAGGTGTGCAGGGAGAGACAGGAGAGGTGGACACTGTGCAGTGAACATACATAAAGAAACAACCACGAAAAAGAAGATGGAGCTAAGACAGGTGCTCAGTTCATTCTGTGCAGAAACTGGAGGGTGTCTGTGCAGGGACTGTCAGCAGGCAGGCAGAAATGTGGAAGCTCAGCTGGAGAGATTTGGTACACGTGGATGAGATAGAAGGAATGTGAGGGCAAGGAGACTGGGTGGCCAGAGAAGCAAGGAAGGAGCACTTGGCCAGAGAGAAAAGCAGAAGCCTGGCAGAAAGGAACCAGGAGAATCCAAGGAAGGGTTTCAGGTGGTGGATGGGAGGCCCAGTCACTGTGCAGAGGTGACATGGGGTGGCTCATGGGAGGAAGGGCCAGTTCCTGGGGACAGGAAGTAGACAAAGGTGTAAAGGATACTATGAGTGATATGTAACAAGGGGAACAAAAGGATGGCACCTGAGAGAAGGAGTTAAGGGCAGCCATCTTAGCATCAGAGACAGCTGCACTCTGGGACAGTTTCTCAAACATGGACACGTGTTCATGTCACTGGGGCTCCTGTTACCACACAGGAAGCTTCTAATCCAGGAAGGAGGATGGGTGGCAATGCGGGACAAAAGAGATAAATGTTGCTGCCATTCTCCAAGGGGTAAATTATTCATTTGCTAAAGGGGCGGATATATCTGCTCCTCTCCACTGAGCAAGGGTGGGGATATGAGCCATGGATGGACAAGAGGAGGCAGGAAAGGGTGCTTTGGAGAGGCTGGACCTCCTCAGTGAGGGGTGTCAGAGGCTCTGTGGATAGAAAATGGAGGTGGGGTCAGGGCGGGCAGGCCTCAGGAGAGTGAAGGCCTCAGGGATGGTGTCCAGCTGACTCAGGAGCTGGAGGGACAGCTGGGACTGCTGGGTTGCTGTGTCTGCAGCTGGTGTTGGCAGGGCCCGGCAGCTACAGGTGCAGAGAAAGAAGCGGCTGGCCTAGGTGGCTCCCTCAGGAGACCCTGGGGAGAGTCAGAGGTTCGAGGGGTTAAGGGCACAGAGTCAGGCTGGGGAGGGGGCCCAGGAAAGCTCCTATGGGGTCATGGGGAGAGGTAGAAGAAGGAAGGGTGAGGGCTGGTAGCTGTGGGCAGAGAGGGGATGCCAGTGGTGGAAGTCTTGGAGGTTTCAGGGGATGCCATAGAAGTCTGGAGGGAGCCAAGTGGCAGTTGGACAGATGGGAGGCCTGCAGGCCAGGCTCTGAGGCAGGGGAGAGGCAGAGTGAGGGGCTGAGCTGCTGGGTGACTTAGGGAGCAGGACTGGAATGAAGCCCAGGCTCTTGCCAGGGAGGCTGCTGTGGAAAGCCCCCGTTGTTAGGCAGTTTGAAGCTGGGATGCTCCTAGGATTGTGCAGCCTGCTCCGTCCAGATTCCTTATCCCCATTTCGTGAGGTCCTGGGTTGAGACCCTGAGACCTGAGTTTTACACCCTGGGACTGCGATGCTAAGGGGAGACCATGAACGTTGACCCCTTTAGCTGCAGCCTGCTAGGGACTCTGTAGCTCCCCCAGGACCACAGTGGCTCTCTGGGGCCAGGCAGGGTTCAGACCCCCTTCTGAGGTCATATCTTTAGGTCCTGAGAGCCCAGTAGTCGCTCTTCCCCAGCTCCTGGGACTCTCACGTAGCTGCCCAATCCCTGTGAATCCCTGAGGGGCCACTGCGTACTGCTGAGCGAGGGCATGCATGCGAGTGAGGACTGGCCATCGGGACTTCCTGTCTCGGAAGGACAAGGCAGTAGCGTAGTTGGAGTTCCTGCTCCCAATTTTCATGGCTCAGTTTGATTCTCTTTCTCTCCCCAGTGAGCTCTGGTTTCGGACCTGTTTGTTCTTCATCAACAGTGCAAGAACACCATGGGGTTTGCAGAGGCTCAGGGAGGCTTGTGAGAAGGAAGGGGACACTCTGAGGCTGTGCTGGTGCCCTGCAGGCCTGGGCATTCCTCCATGGACATTTGCTCACCCAGAGACCACAGCCCTTGTCAGGCCAGCCCTGCAGAAGCGCCTAATCTAGACCTCTTGGGATGTTAGGCACCATAATGACTGCCTGCTGGAAACTGCCACAGGCTCCTTTCTTCCAAACCAGTCTTTCTTCCTTTACTCCTCCTCTAAGGCCTGGGCTTTCTTCACCTTTCAGCCTGGCTCTTCTTTCCTATTAAGGCCTGTAGAAGGGCAGGAGGCATGCAGCTGGCCGCCCCTGCAGGATCTGCAGCCCCTCCTCCTGTGCGCCTGCCTGTGGCTTCCTCCCCAGCCTCTGGCTCTCAGTCTGTGCCTCCCGCCTGTCCCGTGCCCCTTGATAGCTGTCCTCAGCGGGGGAGGGAAGCTCCAAAGGATCTGTGCAGAGACCCTGGGCAGAGGAAGATAAATGGAAGTTGTAATAAATCCAGGAGCAAAGTTGTAACTTGACTTAAAAACAAACAAAAGGGCCAGAACTGCACTTAAGCTCAGCAGAAGCTCGTCTCCCAATGTAAACAGAAGAAAGCAGAAAGCTGAGGAGCCTCACTCAGGCCTGGGACAGCGAGGGAGGGTCAGAGGCAGGACGGGATGTGACTTCCTCTGGAAGAGGATTGTAGGGGAGGTCTCTGTGGCCTCGGCAAGGGAGAAAGGAGATGTGGGACATGCCATTTTCCCATGACTCCTTGTGGAGAAGGGGATTGAGCTGAGAGTGCTGTTGGTGGGGTCACTCCTGTGGTCTGCCGCTGGTGGGGGAGAGAAAAGCATGTGCTGGCAAAGAGGACCTGCATGCTGTGAGGCCTCAGCCTCCTGTGCCTGGGACACAGGGAGTCACTGAGCAGCTTCGGAGGTCTGCCAGGCATGACCCAGAAGGTCACTCTTGCTAGGAGCATGGTACCTTGCTTAGCAGTGTCAGGCTGGATTTATGATGACAGCCCCTTGTCCCTATGTCTGACTCCATAAGTTCAAAGTGCCACCTCACAGGTCCTCTTCACTGGAGCCTCCTTGACAGTTTTGAGGTAGGCAGAATGGAGGGCTCCCCACGCTGCCCAAAACAGTGGATATGGTGTGTCCTGAGGTGCTGCTCCGACCCAGTCAGTAACACACTGTGTGATCCTGGTGAGCTCTTCACCTTCTCCGGGCCTGGCTTTCTTCCCACGATATGATTCGTTCCGAATGGTAAACAGATCAGCTGTCACCCCTCCTAATTCTCTGTGGCTGGACTTTTCACGGTCAGGAACTCAGGGGGACCCAATAGGATGTACAAAGCCACAGTTTAAACATAGTTCATCTTTCTGGAGCCTCATTTCAACACTTGATTTGGAGGAGGAAAAAAAGAATGATTTTTTAAAAACTGTAAAAGAAGTTGTCTACATTATAGAAGGAGATGCAACATTTACATTTTAAAGACAAAATAGGAAACTTCAAGGAGATTTTGTTTCTGCAGATGGTCGCAGGTCTCCTAAACAATGTGTTTGCTCTTTCCTGCTTTCTGGGAACTTAGGAGATTTTGGAAGCGGTGTTGCTGAAGTCCCCACCTTGAGCTAGGCCTTCTGAGTAGCCTGATGTAGCTTTTTAGGCTGCCAAACCATGGGGTGTAGAAACCCATGTTCCTGGTGAATGCCAGGTGGCTGTACTCCCTTTCCCAAAGAGAGGGCTGTTTTCACAGCATCTAACACAATTGTTCTCATTCTTAAAATAAAAAAAACAAGTGCTCATGCCAAAGTCTTGCCTTGACCAAGTGCATCAGACTTCCTGGGAATGTGGTCAGGGCTTCATGTCTGAAAAGCTGTTGGGGTGTTTCCAAAGTGCAACTTGAGCAGGGTGAGCTGATTTAAGAGTTCAGACTTCAGGGCTTACGGGTCCCTGGAGTGTCAGTGTCCACAGAGGGGACACAGTGGCACAGATGGCCCCCTCCGAGGCTAGTGGGCACAAGAGGCTGCATCTCAGAAGTCTCTGCCCACAACTAAAGGAAGGGGTAGAGAGTTAAGGGGAGGTGGAGGCAAGACGAAACCTTGCAGCAGGCAGGAAGGTTGGACTGTGTTCCCCCCAAAATTCATGTCCTTCTCAGAGCCTCAGAGTATGATCTTTTTTGGAAATAAGGTCACTGTGGATATAATGAGGTAAGACACTAGGGTAGGTTGGCTTTTAATCTAATATCACTCTGTCCTTGTAGGAAGACTGGGAGCACTGAAGAGAATACATTTCTGTTTTTAAAGCAAACTTCATCAAGCTTGCAGCATTTTGTTGTGGCAGCTCTAGGAACCGGGACAGAGTCCACGGAGGGGAAACATTGTTAGTAGGCTCCAGCTGTCCTGCTCCTCTTGTGGCTGATAGAGGGTCTGTGGTCCTGCTGCCCCCCAACAGTGTGTGGGTGCCAAGGGATCCCTTGTAACTGCTCCGTTCAGTACAGCTGGGAGGGAACAATCACAGGTAAACTCATTTTGCAAAAAAGCTGAGAGGTTGGAGTGAAATGTGGCCCATGCAAAGGGTCGCTCTGAGGAAAAGATGACAACAAAGGAATCAGGACTCCTTCATTCATTCACTGACTCGCATTTGCTCATGGAGCCTACTGTCAGCCAGCTCTGGGAACACAGAGGTACTGAAGACCAAGCCTCAGGAGCTGGAGCCAGAGGAGTCCACGGTGTGCACGAGAGGAGGCTGAGGAGCGCTCAGATTCCTTCCAGCCCTGGCATGGGCTGACATAGAAGAAAAAGGAAGGTGACCAGCTGGAGACCGCTGCGCGACTGCCAGGGCCTTTTCTGTACTCAACAGCTGCTGAAAGACTCGGCATGGGAGGGCTGCAGGGGACATGAGTGTGTGGGGACAAGGCATGCTGGTGAGGTGTGCTTTACTGCTCAGGGACAGCCAGGCCCCGCCTGGCTGAAGAGGAGATGGGCTTCAGTGGCCACTAGTAATTGTACAAAACTGAAAAATCTCCAGAATATTTTCAGCCCATTTGCACTTATCAAATATCAGGCTGGAAACCTCACCAGTTTGTGTAGGACTCTTTCCAGAACTCGGGAGATTTCACAAACTTGGCCTTGTGCAGGGTGAGGTTCTTGAAATTCCGGCTCCTCGTTCTGGGATCACCCGCCTTCCCACAGGCCAGCAGCTGCTCTTGCACACCTGGCCGCACCGTGAAAGGCGACTTTCTAGACGGACTCTCCAGCCACAAGATGTCTGCGTTCTTTTGGCTCTTTGGTTTCCCCTTTGCATTTTTGGGAGTTACATGACACTCAGCAGTGAGTGATGCTGGCAACCTAAGCAACACAAAGTTCAGAGCCTGAGGCCGCTGCGGCCTCTGCTGTGGTTTTTCTGAAGCTCCATTTCATCTGGGCTAGAGGAGAATGCTTCCCTCCAGAGACCCCAGCAGGCAGGCGGGGCTGAAGCAAAGTTCAAGGAACAGTCGCTTCCACGGTGGCTGGGTGTTTGTCTGGCATAGAGGCAATCTGACGGCATGCTGCAGGCGGCTCAGGACAGGCTGGCAGGACCAGACAGACTGTAGGAGTGGCCAAAGCGGACACTATATCCCAGTTCCTGCTCCTTCCTGGAAACAGCCTGAAGACTACCATCATCATTAACTCTCCAAATTCGTTCATTAAAAGCTCCATGTTACCTGGCACTGGATATAATTAAAACAGAACAACAGTTGCAGTTAACTTCACCTTTTATGACCTTGCAGAGGTTTCCAAGGAAGTCCTAGATGACCTTTTCTTGCATTTGGTACAGGACTCGAACTCAAGCCCTTGCACGTGCCAGACAAGTGCTGGTGTTGCTGAGCTATATCCTTGGCGTTTATCAAGGAGAAGCCGAGAGGTATGCTGAAGGCCCCCCAAAAAGATCTGAGAACAAAGCCCAAGCCTCCTCAGACTCAGACAAGAAAAGATGAAAGGAAAAAACATGTACTGAGTTTTATGTTTCTAAAAGTAACACATGATCACAGAGGATAATTTAGAAAACACAAAAAAGTATAAAATAGAAGCCACCCACAATCCCATCCTTAGAGACTACTGTCAGTGTTCTGGGGTATAAATACTCTTCCTGATTATGAAAATAGCTCTTTACATCTGTATCTTAAAAATGAAAGTGGAAACAGATTTTTGGTAGTGCAGGATTTCAGGTAAATTTGTAGTAGGGATCAATAAAAAAATTATAAGTAATTGAGGGCCTGTTGTGTGTAAGGCCCTCCAGTAGGTACTGTGGGGATTAAGGGGTCCAGGAAACATCAGGAGACTTGGAGGAAGGAACACATGAGAGTGGTTTTGATACTTGTATCCTTAGCTCCTAGGAGCGCTTGGCCTTTACGATGGTGTTTTAGGCTGAGCAGATGGTGTTTGTCCCTCATTATTCACTCACTCAACAAATATTTGCCTTGTTCCTACTACTTGTCAGGTGTAAAGGCATCTAGGATTTGGAGCAGGGAAGCACTGTGTTAGGAGTAATTTAGGAGATTTGTACAGTTTTACCAAATCAATGGTGTGATGGGTGATTTTACTTGTCAGCTTGGCTAGCCCATGGCACCCAGATTCTTGGTCAAATACTTGTCTATATATAGCTATGAAGGTGTTTTTAGATGAGATTAATGTATAATCAGAAGACTTCAAGTAAGTCATATTACCCTCTGGAATGTGGGTAGTAAAGGCTTTAAGAGAAGAGAAAGGCAGAGGGCTTTTAACTTCTACACCGCCGTTGGGTCCAGCTATATTACCTCTCCCTGGGTGTCTGGCCTGCTGGTCTGCCCTGCAGATTTCATACTTGCCAACTACTCCCTCAAAATCTGTCCTTCCATCCATCCATCCATCCATCCATCCATCCACCCACATGCATTGTCGTGCTCTGGACCCAAACTAACACTGATGGAAATGGAGAAAGTCAGAGTAGAGACATGGCTATTCAGAGAGACTGCAGGAGGTCAGTTAGGATATTGGCTGATCAGTAAAGAGGAGTGTCTGCACGCTGTTGTGTGTGTCACTGTGTCTGCATACATGAGTGTGTGTGTCTGTGTGTTTCTGGATATACTTCTGTGTTTCTCAGCTGTACATGAACTTGTTCTAACTTCTTTGTGCATGTCTGGGTGTTTGTGTCTCTGAACATGTCAGGGCATGCTTCTCTGTGTACATGATTATGTATGTCTATAGGAGAGTGTATATCTCTGCATATGGTTGTCTTTGAAGCTTTGTGTGTATCTCCATATATGAATCTGTGTGTGTGTCTGTGTGTGTATTCATACATGTGCCTCTGTGTGTCTGTAATGTCTAAGTGAACATGTATGTTTTCGTCTCTGTTGAGTATCTGTGTTGGTGTATGTCCACGTGAACATGTATATCTGAATACATGAGTCTGTCTGTCTGTGTCTGTATATATGCATACCTTGACCTGGGTTGATGCGTGTCTATCTGCATGAGTGTTCTTGCGTCTGTTGGGGATGTCTGTCATGGTGCTTTTTCTGGTACTGAGGATCGAACTCAGGGTCATTGCAATGAAACACATCCTTCATCTCTTTTATTTTTTTGAGGTAGTTTCGCTAAGTCTAGACTCAAACTTGGGACCCTCCAGCCTCAACCTCCCAGAGTGCAGGGTTTACAGGCTTGCACCAGTAGGACCAACACCTCAATCATTTTCTAGGGCACCTCTTGCCTGACTCTTGGTCAGTTCAGACAGCTTTCTGGGAGGGAGAGTACAAGCTGTGTCTGGGAGTGGGACAGAGAGTTGGACAAGCAGGACACCAGATCACATGGTAGACAGAGCTGGGGCAGTACACAGCAAAGGGATAGGGGATGCAGGCAGGTTTGGAAACAGGATAGTCAGAAGCTAAAAGTGGCACAGACAGGCTTTGAGGGCAGTCCAGGGACATACACAGGTCCTCCTTCCTCAGAGATAGTTTTTTTCTTTTGTACTGGGGATTGAACTCATGACCTTATGCTTGCCAGGCAGGTGCTTATGCCACTGAGCTAAATCCTCGGCTCAGAGATAGGTTTTTAAAGAAGCAGGGTCAGTAAAGGCCTATTTGAGGGGGTGGCAATGCAGGAGACCTGTGGGCTGGGCCCCATGAGAAGGAAGAGGAGAAAAAGGACAGTCAGGGTAGGAAGTTTTTGTTTGTTGGGTGTTTTTTTTTTTTTTTTTTTGAGACAAACTTGTCAGGTCTTGCTATGTAACCCATGCGGGCCTCAAACTCCCAGTAATCCTCCTGCTCTGCCTCCTGATTGCTGGAATTACAGGAGTGTTCCTCTATGGCCAGCACAGGGTAGAGAATTGTTCTGAGACTGATGACGACTTCAGGTTGGACCTGTCGGTGTTGAGGAAGGCACAGACTTCCAAAGGAAAGGTAAAGACAGTGACCAGCATCATGTTCCAGAAAGGAAACTGAGGAATGAGAAAAAGCCACCAGGTTTGACAGTAAGGAAGAGGAGGCTGTGAGCGTGTGCAATAGGACGGCAACAATTGCTGGACGCCCACTATGGAGGTGTTGGGATGGAAAAAACAACAACATAAGCATGCGAATGGGCAGCAGAGGTGAGTGATGGAAGCCCTGCACATATTTGAATAAAGAATGAAACTCAGTCATCAAGATATTCAGGCCTGATCCCATTAAATACTTCCCCTGAGAGTGAGCAAGCTGATATCCTTTAATCATGCCTTATATTTATAAAGGCATTTCTCCAAAGAACTCCAAGTGCTCGATAAACATTAATTAATTCACTTTCTCAGCCTCCTTTAGGGACAAGTTGGTGGCAGGCAGCGTCATTGTTTACAGGCACGGAATCTATGGCGGATATGAGAGTGGCACCTTCAACCCAGATCACAAAGCGTCTGTGATGGGAGGCATCCTTACCTGGCTCCCCTCTTTCTGCTCTCAGGCCTTTGCTATATCACCCACATTTTGCCAGATCCCTTAGTGTTTCCAGTGAGCTGTGGCTGTGAGACCAGCTACACATTCTAATGCTTCTGGGAATGGATTTAGGATAATCCACCAGTGATCTTGGGGCCAGGTGTGAGGCTCTAGGAATGGGATTTTCATAAGCTGTATCTTGGACTAAATTGAGAGTTCTGGTTACTTGTTTATATTTACTACAAGCACTGACCAAATTGTCAAACTTAAAATATGCAATTGCTCAGTTTGCATTTTGTGGGCACGCTCACACACGAAATTCTTTAGTGCTGTAGGTCACAGAAGTACTGTAATTCCTTAAGCTGGCTATGTAAGAGCCAACCATGTTCTCAGAAGCCAAATACTCCTGGGACACAAGGGATCCCAGGGACATTCCACTAAGATGATCTGATTACTTCCGGCGGTGAACCCGGGCCTTATCAGGCCTAGAAAGGAAGAGAATGCCAAATATCTCCTTGGTGGAGGTGATCTGCAAAGCCCCCACTGTGGCCCCAGACAGCATTTGACTTAAAGGCACTCGTTCTTTCCAGGCTGTGGCCTGCCATTGTCCACAGAGCCCCGTGAACTGCCCATACTCTAGTGAGGACTGGCACTTGTGGGATCTGATAAGCAACACACAGTCTTGGTCTGGTATTGCTGCTCTTTGAGTGGACCTGGAAAATTCAAGGGGCATGGTGGTACAAAGCCAGGATTTCATTAGGCTCCCCTAATGATCCTTCTGGGGCCAGGCAAAGGGAGAAACATTCCAAAGAGCATTGGATGGCTCCTCTTGAGCCTCCCTGTCTCGCCATCATTTGCAGAGACATCCCTTGTTAGTGGGACTAATCTGCTCCAAGTCCCTGGCAGCTGCACAGAATACTAGAGGACCAGCCCAATGTGGTGCCATTTGGCTACCTCTGCCATCCCATCACACTGCTTGCTTCCCAGGCCTTCTACTGCACCCCGAAGAGCACAGGGGCCCACAAAGAGACAGCGGAGATTAGCACAGTGACACTTTCATTTGGGGGTTTTCATGAAATCTTTTGTGTTTGGTCAGAATCCAGCAAAAATATAAATTGTTTAGGAGACAGAATAGAGTTGCTTTCTGAGCTGGGAGACCCAGAAGGCATGGCCACTCTGGGAGCTATAAATCAAAGCCTAATCTTGGGAGGACTCTGGGAAGGAAGAGGGTGATGTGAAGTGGTCTGAATGGAGGAAGGGCCAGAGAGTTTTGACACATCTCAGTCATTTCCTTCCTGTTCCCATCTCTTTCTCATTCTCTCAGAGCAGAGAATTCCGGCTTCCTACACTTAAGATGAAGAAGGTCAGCTCTAGAATAGACAGCCATAGCACATACCCACCCCACCGTCTGGGTGTCACGGGTGAGAGTGCTTCCACAGCGGGGTTGATAAAGGACACAGTGTGAGCATAACGTGTAACGTGCGTGAGTGGGGGCGACTGAGCTGAAGGCAGTTTGTGGGAAGAGAACCTCTCTTGACTTGTCTTTCTCTAACTTCTTTTTTTTCCTCTGAAGAGAGTTGGATAAGTCCTCCTCAGGTCTTGGAGCCAGGTGGCCTGAGTTTGCAACCTGAAGGGTCCACTTAGCTTGCTAGCCTCATGGTTCTCCCAGATGAGGCCAGTGGGCTTCCTAAACAGCAAGGCCAGGTTTCTCTCTTGTGATATCTCCCTTCTGCTGTGCCTGGAGAAGTGTATACTGCTCTGTGGTGCTTAAGAGATGAGCTATGATGTACTATAGATTGTAAGAAGAGTACCAGCTGCATAGTAAATTACGTAAGGTTGTTTCTCCTCCTCTTCCTCTTCTTCCTCCATGATTTCTTCCCTTCTGCCTCCCCTTCTCCTTCTTCTCCTCTATCTGGGGTTAGCTGGAAATTCATCCATCTTACCACAATTCCTGGCAGCTTCCTCATGTTCAAGGAGTGTGGGAACTGGGCACTGGCCCATGTCCGACGGTTAGCCCTGCAGTGGTCCATAAAACAGCGGCAGAGGGAGCGGCCAGCACAGATAGGGCGCTGGAGATGAAAAGCAGCCGTGTTTTCCTTTCCAAAGTGCTGCTGTGTTCCTGAAGGCCTGCAGCTTCCTCTGCCCTGCTGGTTTTTTTTTTCTTCCCAGTTCCTCTCAGTGATATCTTAAGAGGCAAACTTCCAGCACTAACAGGAGGTCTTTTGTTCTCCTTTTCTCAAAGTGGACTTTAACCCAGTTACTACAGACTGAGTCACTGTAAAAACAAACAAATAATAATCTTCCATTTTCTTAAAGGCTCTTCCAGGCCTGCTGACAGAAAAGGCAGAACCTGACACTGCACTGGGCCTGTGGGCTCTTCCCTATTCTGACCTGCTGGAGGCACAGCCTGAGAGAACCTTCCAGAATAGCCTGGCACGATGGCTTGTTTAAAATTTCATTTGATTTGGGACGGCCCGTGGACTCTAAGGAATTTTTGTCCCAACACAGTGCTGGTGAGATTTTTCCCAGACTGAGAAGAGCTGTTAACTTCTGGATCAGCCACACACTACATTCTGGACTTGCCTCCTTTCTCTATACTTCAGGGGCTTTGTATGTGAAACAAGGGTATTAAGACTCTGTGTGATTTTATCAGGAAGGGCCTTTCAAAGGGAATATTGTCCTGCTCTATTAGAAGACGTCAGGGCAAACTAAACGTGCCAGGCCAGGCTGAGTCCATTTGATAAGAGTCCCACAGGCACTAAGCAAGGCATTGGGGCTGCAGAGCTGAGAAAGTCCTACTTCCTTCCCTCAGGGAGACAAGAAAACATGGCGTCTCCTACAGGTGGGTGGAGATATGCTAAGGAAGGATGGGGTGTGGCAAGGAAGAGGATGGGCACTCAGCCTGGGAGTGTTGGGAAAGACTGTGAGGAGATGGCATTTGAACAGTGGCTACTTCAGGGAAATGGAGATCCACAGCAGGTAAAGGGAGCTAGGCAAATAATCCAAGGCAAGTTTTTGGACCACCAGTGTGCAAGCCTTTTCTGACCTTTATCCAGCCATTTTTTTTAGTAGAGTTTTTGAGAAAAAGGAAGAAATGGGGCTCTGGCTTCAGGACCCTGCTCTGAGACAAACATTAAGGCATGCTTTGGGCCACTGGCTCTCTGGACCCACTGTCCTAGAACACAACCATTGTTCCCAGTGGATATAAAACATGTTGTCTAAGAGGTTGTCACCTACTACATTTCTGATTCCTGGAGCTCAAGTGCTCAGGGTAATATACTCATGTCTGCAACAAAAAGCAAGTGCACTTGCCTGGAAAACTGCTCCTCATTGTCAACCCCACTTACAAGCTTCCGTTACTGTGAAGTACCCCCAGACCACAGGCAGAGGAGCCAGCATGCTTCTTTGTACTCCTGAGGCTCAGTCTTTGTACTTTGACTTAGGCTCTACCTGTAACCTACTGTAATTTCTTGGTTGTGTTGAGCACCCCCCCCCCATTCTGGGCTCCAGAAAAGAGGGTGGTAGTGAATGCATTTTGAATTCTCAGTCTTTAGCATGGTATTTGGTTCAGGAACATACTAAGTGTTCAATAGGTTTTTTGTTAAGTGAATACTTAAGTGAAGAATGACCATTGAATGGGTGTGTTTGGCGTAGTCCATCAATGTTCTTTATCAAAAACTTCACTTTCCCCATCACTGATAATAAAATGTTAAGACGTAAGAATTTCCTACGGATTGCACCACTTGGTATATAAGTAGATCTTTCCTTCCAAGAAGCTACTTGCAGTTGAGAATTTAGATTTTATATCCAACTGAGACCACAGTGAGAATCCGGCCAGAGGGAATCTGCTAATTTTTCAAGCTGACTTTCCTGTTTTAGTGCATTCCAGGAACTGAGTAAAGACCTTCCATTAGCCTGTTGGGTCTGTGCCTCTTTACATTTCCGTGCCAGTCACTTGGAAAGTGAACATTTCTCCTTGTGACCAGGCAGATTTGCTTCTGTGAAGGTCAGCTTATGTCAGTGTCACTATTGATAAGAGTCTTATCAAAGACAGGGGTCTTGATATGTCCCTGGAAGTACTCCTTGGCTGGCCCTTCCATCCCTACTCTCTATTTCTGCCAAACTCAGATGTCCCCTGACAACCAGGAGTAGATGACACTAAAGATGCCAGTGTCCAGTAGAACAGGCCATGTCCCACCAACTACGGCCTCCCAGCCTCTTGTACTGGTCCCCATCTAGCTGCGTCTCGTCTCTCTGATGTGGTAGAGCGCAGGCCGTAGCCTTGGACTGCCTCTGCCGGATTATGGCTCTAAGAAGATGAGTAAAAAATTCCAGGACCAGGCTTGCTCTCAATGACAGTCGCTGGTTAATTTCTTCTGAGAAAATGGAAACCTTGGTCTCCTGATGTGTGCAACGTCAGGCACAAGAGGAATTTTCCAATACAACAGGGGAATGAATTTTCCGAGGACAGGCTGACCAAGAATAGCCACCATCTGACCGTGCACCAGAATTAGCTAACGTGGCACTCCTGGAGCAGCGGAGGTGACTGCTGGACTCTTGGCCCAGGAGGGCAGCCCCCCCCATGTGTGTTGCCAGGATCTGTCACTGATGGGATTAGTGACTTCAGGACAGCTGGAACACTGCAGAGCCATTTCCCTATGGTGAGAAGGGACACGGTCTTGATTCCACCTCAGAAGGAGGTGGCGATGAAGAGCAGCTGAAAGCTGGCTGGTCCTTTAGAATCTGTGATGGGAAGGGTGTGCACCCAGGCCTATCTGCTCTGTCGCAGACTTCACAGTGGCCTGACTGTTCCTTCCGCAGACTCACAAGTTACCCCTTCATCCACTTGCTGGGCTCCGCTCTATGGGGGACACTCCTGTGAATTAGGCAGACAAAGATGAATTGTCTGCGCCCCTTCATTTTGTTCTCTCCAGTTCCCTTCATCATCCTTCCACAAAAGGCAGAGGCCATTGTTCTCCCCAGCTCTTTCTTTCTCACAGCAACAGCAGAGTTTCAAAGCTGGGAGGCACAGGCTGCTGGGAAGAGGCCGGGGAGGAGCGCAAATCCTCCTCTCACTGGAAAGCCCATGGGGCGCTGTCAGGGTGGGAACTGTCCCCTGGGAGCCCCTGGAAGCTTACTCATGATCTCTGGGAGATGCTTATGACTGGGGAAAAAATGGTTGGGGTACAATTAATTCCCAGTATCAGGTATAAAGGAACTTTTTCCAAAGCTGGTTCTGGCAGCCAGAAAGTCACCTTGGCAATGTTGTCAAGGGCATGGGCGCCTCTGTTTCTCATTCTCAGTGTCCGTGTGGGAAGGGCTGGGAATTCACCTCTCCAAAACCAGAGGGAGAAAAGGCCTGGGATAAGAAACAGAAAATGTAAGTGCTGGCCCGGTGGATATCTTTTAAAAAATTGTTATTTATTTTTTTCCTGATTTTGGAAAGTATGTTCGTAAGAGGAAATTGGAAATACAGTATAGAGAAAATTCTAGAAAATAATTAAACGCAAAGCACAGGTTTATTACCCAGTGAGAGTGCTATGGACATTTTTATATATATATTCTTCCAGTTAAAAATGCACATGATAGTTCTTTTCTTACAAAACCATTTTATTCTATGTAGGATGGTTTATAATCTATCCTTTTTCCTTTAAGGTTATATTATGAATATTTTCTCATGGATAAAAACACAGTTTTTTTTTTTTTTTTTTTTTTTTGTCTTTTTCCTTTTTATCAGTACCGGGGATGGCACTTATGCCGCTGAGCTAAATCCCCAGCCCCTAAAAACACAGTTTTAATGGTGGCCTAGTAATCCATCTAATAGATGTTAATTTAGCTGATACTGTATGGCTGATCATTGAGCTGGTGTCCACTTGTTTGCTATCATGAATTACATGATGGAGACTTTGGGCAGCCTGACTCAAGCTGCCCACTGCTTTGGTCATATGTCACTCAGTCCTTACTCAAAAGCCATGGTCAGCTGAGGAGAGCCAGAAGGACTTCACAGCCCCTGCTCAGAACACAAGGACAAATTTAATTGATTCAAGCTTGCAGCATCCCTGAATATGCTTTTTAATTCCACAGAAACAGTCACCAATGTAGAGAGACAGTGGGATTCAATTCAGTGGAATCTTATTCATAGATGCATTTTTTTTTAAGGACAAAGTAGGACCCCTGGACTGGTGATCCCTTTAGACCTTGGCCATCTATTTTGTAGGAAAGGCTTGCGCATTGTTGGTAATGGAAGCTAAGTGCCTTCAGCAAGGTTTGTCTGTAGAGGTCACAGGAGACATGCATTCCAGACCAAATCTGCTTGGAATCATTTCCATGTTAGGATCTTCAGTGCCATAGCTCTCCTCCATGAGTGTAGATAACCCGAGGGGAGTAGCACAAAAAGTTAAGAGTTCCCAGCAGGCCTAAGGAGTTTACTGAAATGCTGTGGCTTGCAAAGCAGAAGGGAAGCCCTGGGTTCAGAGAATTGAGCAGATTCCCATTGGAGAATCTGGGGCAGAATTTAGGCCACAGGTCGTTAGTTTAATTTACCCTCAAGAAGCTCAAGCTGCCACATGGGATGCATCTCCACAGCCTTGGTCCTGCAGCCCAGCAGCAGGCGAGAGACTGAGCTCCAAGGTGGAGGGGCAGTTGCTGCAGGCCTGGGAAGTGGGGTGTGGGCGGTGCAGCTCAGCAGTCACCTCCCTCTTCATTGTCCCATTCTAGTCCTGAGACCTGCATGCATCTTCGCCAGGACACTGGAAAGTCTCATTTACAAAGGTGAAGACCAGACTTCTTTGTTTTTCTCTGAGGCCCCAGGCTTCCAGAGGAAGATAGGACAAGAAAGGGAGCTCATCTCCATGAGAGCTCAGGGAGGTAACATGGGATTGCACCAGATGGAGGTGTGTGCAAAGTGTACACACACACACACACACACACACACACGCACGCACGCACGCACGCACAGCATATTTCTCTCCTTCTCCTGTCTTATAGCTTAATGGATTTTTGGGAGAGAAACTGTGGTCTCAAATGCATATGTTTTGGCACAAAAGCCAGGGGTGGGGCAGGGAAGCATGAGAGTCCCCGTGGGCCAACATTTTTGTCTCGTCTCTGAAAGGTCACCCTCTCTTCTCTGCTGCTCAGATATGTCACCAGACGCCCCTGCCCAGTCTGACAGCACCATGTACACAAAACCCGGCACCCCAGTAAGCTGATCCTTTCCCAAGCTGCTGAGGAGTCTTTGGGGGGTGGACAGAATTCCTTCTGAGCTTGTCCAGCCCTGGCTCATGAGCTCGGCTGTCTCCTCTCCCAGGAAAGATTTATGGCAGCAGTGCAGGGCTGACTTCCACCGCTCCACCCTCTCCATCCCTCTTCCAGGCAAAAGGTTGAAGCTGTAAAGGTTTATAGAGGGGCTGCTGGTAACAGATCAGTATTCCCACTCTGTGACCAAGGAGCTGTTGCAAAAGCAGCTGAAGCCTCTCTTCATACTCATAATTGGATGGCACTGGTGCCATGACAGATGCCAGACCAGACATGGTCCCCACTGCCACCCAGCCCGGATGCCAGGCACCTCCACTCATCCTCTGGTGGTTAGCAAAGGTGCTCTGAGCCAGTTACTTGTGCCTGAGATGTGAATCCCCTCTGCGCCAAGCCTCCAGAGACGGGCTCTAATCAGTTCTCATTCCACTTTTCTTTTCCCTCTACCACTAGGGACAATTTGGCGCCTACTCACAGCCTCTGTCCCTGCAGTAGGAAGAACTCAAAGTGATTGGTGCTGATGGAGTTGAGACTCCATTTAGAGAGACCACCATGGGCCACCCCTGACTATAAGCCTCTCGTGTTTTGCTTATTTAGATCTTACCACAAAGCCCAGAGTGGACGTTGACAATGTCCCTGGTGCGCAGATGAAGACACTGAATCCAGAGTTTCATTAACTTGCCCAAAGTTGCACAGCTAAGGAAGGGTGGGGCAAGAATTTCAATCCAGAAGCCTGGCCCTGGAGTCATATTTTTAATGCTACACTGAGGGTGGAAATAAAATAACTCAGGATTTTATTTTATGGACCTCAGAGAATAATATTACTTGACTCCATATTGCTCACAGCACAGGGCCTGATTCCAGGTATCCCAATGATCGTTGCTGAAAGAAATCAATGCCAAAGTGTTCTGTGCCTGTTACATCTTCTGTACAATGGGACAGTAGTAGCACAGACAGTTTTGTGAGAATGAAAGTGGTAAATCTGTGTAAAGCACTTAGAACAGGTCTGACACATGGCATGTGCACCATGAGGGCTGCTGTCAAAGTGCCTGTCACTTTTGGCAATGTGGCAAAGGCTCTGCGCTCTGATATTGCAATCCTGGTGTGGAGGATCATCTGGACAACTCTCCTTCAAAGAAGAGCAATTGTCTCCATTTTGATTAACCTGGTCCTGTTCCATGTTGGTGTGCACAGAGCTGGCTAGGACTTTTTCTCATCTCCTGAGTTGGTTTCAAGCAATGCAAATTGGTCTAGTTGAGGTGCTGATGTGTGGTCTTTGAAGCAAGGTGACAGGTCAGTGAAACCCCGCCTCCAGCTCCCCAATAACATGTGTGAGCGAGGCCCGTGCAGCCAAGCTGTTGGCTGGGACTGAACCTTGAGAAAGAGGCCATGACATTATACATCAGAGCTGAAGCACAGGCCCCAAAACATTAGATACTGTCTCGAATTATGTAGATTACTCTCCCTCTGTCTGTCTCTGTCTCTCTGTTTCTGTCTCTCTGCCTGTCTCTGTCTGTCTCTGTCTGTCTGTCTGTCTGTCTCTCTCTCTCTCTGTTGGCATATTGCAGGTTATTTCAGGCTTCCCACCTCACAGCGCTCATGGACTTCCTGTCACAGCTATAGTCACTTATCCCCAGCCACTTCATGAATTAATAGAACCTGGGTTCTGCCCTGGGTCAAGGCTTATGTTCTGGTTAGCCATTATATTAGCTTGACTTAGGACCTCTTGGCTCCCCACAACTACAGATATGTCTTAGTGTCTTTATTCTCTTTGTGGGTTGCACTGTTGGAATTAATTTATTAGAATTCCAATAATTTTTCCATGGAATTACAAATGTGGATTTTTCTGGACAGTGATAAGGTCAAGAAGGGCTTCCTATCCTTGGCTCTACCTCTGCTCAGATCTATGATCTCTGGTAACTGACCTAACTTCAGAACTTGAACTTTGTGGAGTTTTTAAAGCGCGAAATGAAGTTCTGTGATCAGCACAGAAAAAGCTCTCAAGTAATGACCACAAAACATCTTTAGTGTTAATGATATTGCTATTTTAAAACTGGATGCATATGTTTAAAGCATTTTGGGTCACTCAATACTCCTGCAGGACAGACTGCTGTCTTGGTGAGTGCGTACACACACACACACACACACACACACACACACATTGGCAGTGCAATTGGCCAATGACTTGGCCATTCCCCTACCAGTCCCTGGAAGCAGGGCTTCCTGGTTTGGGAAGGAGTTTTAGTGCTTGCCGTCCTCAAAGCAGGTGTCTCCTTCTTCCTGGTTCAGAGGGGACACCATTATCTGGAAGGAACTGAGACCTTCAGAGAAAAAGAACTTCCCTTTGGCCTTCTGAAAGTCACTGGCCACCTGAGTCTGTGCCTTGCTGCGCATCATCTAGGTGGTACGGCTGCTCCGAGGGCTCCATTCCTCTATGCTGCAAGACCGTATGGGGGGTCAAGGGGGCTGGCCAGTCACATCCACATCCCAAGAGCGCAGGTCTGGTCATAAGTGGCCACATAAGTGGCCATTCTGGGTCCCTGAGTATCTGCCCAGCTGAGCCAGGGCTCTACTGAGCTGCAGGGACCCTCTACTCCTGAGTCACAAGTGAGGCACTTACGGCCTGATTGGGGAGCCCTGGGGAACAGCAGAAATGGAGCAAGCCTCCCTGCTCCCCTGCCACACACAGGTGCAAGTGTCCAGGGGAGAGTGTCATATCAACATGGCTCCTTATGTCACTTTGATTGGAGTCCTCAGCAGGAACTCTGACTACACTGTCATCACAGCGTGGTCTGGGGAAGTACCCATACAGGAGGGGGACTCAGAAGGGATTTTGATGGCGAAGCCAAGGGCACAGCTCCCTTTTTCTTTTGTAATTTGACATATGAAAAGTGAAGCAAATAGAAAGGGGTATCCTCAGGACTCCAGGAGCTCGGCTGTTCAGCACATGCCACTTCTAGGGCAGAGCCTGGTACGAAGGTTGGCCATTCTTCTTGTTCCCACTTCTGAGTCTTCTTGCAACTATTTCTCACCGTCCTATGTGACACTTGGCTGCTGGAAACCTACCCATTTGGCTATTTCTGTCTCTCTAAGCAGCCTAGTCATCTGGGAGACAACACCCCATTCAGAGTCTAGGGCATAACCAAACAAGGCCTAGCGTTTGGATTTGTTTAACTAGAGAGGAAAGGAGAGAGGGGCGATGTATGTGGCAGGACCACCAGAAGGTGCAGGAGAAGGGACAAAGTTGGTTATCTGGGCCTTCTCAGGTGGGGGCAGTTGCCTAGGGAGGATATATATCAGGAGACTTGGCCTCGCCATCAGGCAAGGCCTTGTCATAGGAAGGCAGGTGAAGAGGGACATTTGAAGGATGCCCCAACTATCCCATGGCCAGCCTCAAGGTGGATTGGGATAGTCTGATAATCTGGAGTAGTCAGCTCAAGTATGAAAACACCCTGGGAGGTGAGATTACAGTATCTCTTCGGGAGAGTCAATGGCTCCTTTACAGAGGCTCCAATCCAGGTAAGACTGCCAGTTGATGTCAGGCTTCAGGATGCCAGGTAGATCTGTCTGTACACCCAGGTGGCACCCAGAGGAGAAATCTTTGGTCTTGGGAGGCAATACAGAACTTGCATCTTCAAGCTTGCACAGACCCTGAGCTGAGGCCTGAGGGACCCCTACCCTTACAGGGAGGTGCCTGGGAGCACCCTGCCACATGGACGGCCAGGGTTCAGGGTGTTATGGGTGTGGTCTGAGGAGTGGTTTGACTGGCTCCCAGCCTGTGACCTGCCTATGGAGAACAAGTTCCATTTTCAATTACTGTCAACTTGGCCCCATCTAAGCCTAAGTAGGCAGGCTGACCAGGCAGAGTTTGATATGTGTGGCATCTGCAGTTTTAGCTGTCACTCTGTCATTTGACTGAAACCTCCCTGGATCCATAGCAGTGAGGCTCTTGATGTTTTGCTGGAGGGACAGCCGAGGCCAGCGTTAGCTTTCAGATTCAGCATCTGGGTGGACACACTAATCAGCTGCCCAGAGTGACCCATGCAGGGACAGGCAGGGAGGAATGCGAGGTGTGGGTGGAGGCAGGGAGTGAGGGTTTGAAACAAGGCTCAGTCTCATAAGACCATAAATGTTAGCGTGAGATTAAGAATGAATCCACACCAGAAGCGTAGATCTGATGCATATGGAATATGTGGGTGTATGCATGGGTATGATTTGACAAGCAAAGGAAAAAGGGGGAAACTGAAAAAAAAAAGTCCTTTCTGTCCCTGTAACCATTAGAAAGAAAATGAAGTCCAAATTGTGTTCAGGGCTGCTGGGACAGAGGAAGAGAGGCAAGAATGGAAAAAACAGGCCGTAAAGATGCCAGGGCTCCTTAAGCAGAAACATCTGTTGAAGTCATAAGACTCAGCCTGATCAGGCTTCTAACAAACCCAGGAAGAGGGAGTCTGTGCTGGATCAGGACTGCCCTGCTTGGCTGTGCGGGGCCCCTGGGACGCATACGTGCAAAGGAGATACCTTCTCCAGGGCTCAGCCAGGACTGGCTCCAAGCACAAGAGGAAGGGCGGGGGGGGGGGGTATTGTAGCAGCCGGGGCAGGGATGTGACAGCAGTTTGGAGTGTGTATTTATTTAAAGCTTTAACTCACTAGGGTAGCCTGGGGAGCCACATGTCTCAACTCCTGCAGCCAAAGAAAGAAAAAATGAACCCGGGGGAGGGAGGAGGGGAGTTGATGACCTGCATGGAGTAGGGGGTGGAGTGGGGGTAGGGTGGGGGGTTGGGAGGCTCTGCTTGCTGTTTGCAAGTGTGGGCTGGTCTCTTATTTGTGCTTTTTGACCTGGGCCAACTGTCCAAGGCTCATCTCTTCTAACACCTACCAAAATGGCAACTATGGTTTATTGACCATTTACCACTCACTGCATCATGTTCCTTGTAAGCATCATCACCTCATTTAATCCTCCCCAGAGTGGGCAGAGACATGTATGGCCATCTCAGGGAGGGTCTCCTATTTGTATTAGCATCCCAGGAAGAAACAGAGGCTGAAGGAGGTGACACAGTTCTCCTAGGTCACTTGGCTAGAACATCCCAAGCAGCACCCAGAGCTGCCCCTGCTCTTCCTTCCACAAAGCTCATTGGAAAAAGTGACTCAGTCAAACACCACTGGGAAAGCAGCTTTGTAAAATCAGCCCAACATTTCCGGAGACCTCAAGGGCCCTGCACACTCTGTGTCTCATCCACCTCTGTGCTCCGCCACAGTAATCTGGCCACTTGTGAGACAGCTCTAGCTACAGAAGATGCCAATGCCAAAGAAAGGGAAAGGGTTAAAACTCCAGTCCCCACGATGACAGCAGAATTCTGCCATCTCTCAAGGAAGCACATAGATGCTGAAAGAAATGAAAACCAGATCCTATACTGCTTTCTTGTGGGGAATGGCAAAGGTTTCATAAGGCCTCATTCGAAAGCAGATGTGTCTCCTTTTCCTTGAACCCCTCCTCAGACCTGGTCCTGCCTGGCTGTGTTCATTTGGACAGCATCCACCCACCACGAGGCAGCTCAAGCCTCCCAGAACATGGGGACCCTTATTTCATATATGGGGTCCTGGAGATAAAAGGCTACCACTGTTGGTGGCAGGGCTCATGGACAAGGAACTAGAACCTCCAGAAAATACAATAGTGAAACAGCTAGAGGACCGGCAGAAGCCCTTTCCTGGGCAGCTGCCTTGGGAAGCAGAGGTCACTGATGTTTCCTAAACAATGAGTGTGCGCTGCCGTCATTTACTAGAATAGGAGCTCACTGGCGCCGGCTGGATTTGACATCAACCCTTTACAGAAGGTAACACTGCCTCCACTTTAAAGGTGAGGAAGGGGTAACTTACCTAAAGTCACAGAATTCCAGAGTAGAACCCACGCGCTGGGGCGGGAAATGCCCTTACACCTCAGGCTCTGCTGTGCCTCCTGTCACCTGGCCAGCTTGTGAAAAGGCAGTCTCAGAATCAGCAGAATCTGGGAATGAGCAACTCCCAGGAGGGGCACACTCCAGGCTCTAGGACCACGCTGCTTTCTTTAACCCACATTCCTCTGGGCCACGTAAGCTGGTGTTGCCCTGAATCTTCAATGCAGCCTTCCCACCAGGATGCTGGAGCCTGCTGCAAAACACCCTGACAGCCCTGGCAGCTCTGCTGTGCATTGTCTCCCTTTCCCTATTGCTAGGCTGAGTGTTTAAACCCTAAACATCAGCTTTGAGTCACAAAGACTGGCAGTGGCCTGCTTCAGTGAGGCCCAGAAACCCGTGGAGAAAGACACCTGCTCCCCCCGGATCGGGATAAGACTTCGATGTGACTCTGTATCTCGGAGGGACTGATGTGATGAAATCTCCCTCTTATGGCCTCTTGCGTAAGGTGGAGGAAATTTTCTGCTTAGATCAGCAGAGGAATTAGGAGTTTGCGCCACAAGGGCCAATCTCAGTGGGAAACAGGAAGCAGCAGCAAGCAGGTAAGGGTCCCGGTTGAGTTGGGTTCCTGGTTCGGTTCATTTGAAGTTGGGGGAGGGATCTCCTCTTTTGGCTTTTTAGTTTCAGTCGGACAGTCTGTAGTTCCCCAGGGCTTGCTAGAGGGCTCAGAGTACAAATCTTTCAGGAGGGCAAAGGTGATCTGCATTCCACAGAAAGGAGGGGTTTGGGAGAGGCTGGGGCTCAGGTTTGTTCCCAAGCACAAAGCCTGGTGAGCAAGACTGACCCCAACATAGCCCCTGCGACACTCAGATGACTTTCTTCCCTCCTTTACTTCTGCAGAGAGGTCTTTTTTTTTTTTTTACAGCAGACATTAATGGGGTTCTCCGATGGGCAGGTGCTGTGCTGGCTGCTGCTTATAGCAGACCACAGAACTGCCTGTCGGCTGGCCCTGTAGAGCTCATAGCTAGAGGGAGCTGAGTCTTCTTCATCCAGTGCAGGGAGCTCCTGGGGTACCTGCTGAGGAGGAAGGTGTCTGCTAGGGAGAGGCTACACGCTCTGGGTGTCCATTCCCCAGCTGGCAAGTAGGTCATCCAGCCTGGCTCTCCTCTTTGGGTGGACTTCCCCATGCTCATGTTCTTTGTAAACGTGGTTCTCCCTTTTACTCTCATCTGCCCTCCCAATGACTCCTCTTAGCATCTCCTGGACAACTTAGTTCAAGCCAGAGTCACCGTGTGCTTGGAATTCCACGGGCACCTGAAGCTGATCAACACAGTGGCCAGGGAGGCAGTTCCTTGGGAACTCTACAAATGTTTGCCTTGGTCACAAATAGAGGGGACGTGGTGGCACATGTGTGTAATCCCAGCACTTGAGAGACTGAAGCAAGAGAATCCTTATAAGTCTGAGACCAGCCTGGGCTACAAAGTGAGCTCAAGGGCAGCCTGAGCTGCATAGCAAGACCTGTGTCAAAAAGACCAAAAAAAAAAAAAAAAAAACAAAAAAAACAAAGAAAAGAAAAAGAAAGAAATGTGTACGGAGGAACAGGGAGGCCGGAATGCAGGTGGGGTGAGGGATGCGTGCTGGAGGAGGAGCTCCAGCCCAGGTGTTGCAGCGCTCCCTCTTCTCCATGCAGGCCTCAGGACTTGTCACTGCAGTTTTCCTCCCTCTGCCTCAAGGGTGAGGGGAGGGGGCTTCAGGAAGACTGATGGCAGCAGACTTAGGCAGACGGAAAGTGCACCACATAGCGGGTGCCTTGCAGGCTGTGAAGAGATCTGCAGTGGATGAGCCGTTGCCTTGGTGATACTAATGGAAAGCAGGCCTCAGAGAGGGCCAAGAACCCCTGTGGGTTGAGTTATCTCCTCCTTGTGAAGCTCTCTTCGCCTCCCCATCCACAGGCGCAGATCAAACTCCCCGAATATTTATAAAACCTCTACCAGAAACAGAGAAAGCCAGGCCGCCTGGCCAGGCGTCTGCCGAGGCTTTCTGGAGCTGCTCAGTGACACTCCTGGGGCTCTTTGTTCTGTTTTTCTTCTTGCAGTGAGCAGGACCAGTAGGGAGGGAGGCAAGGAGGGAGGTAGGCAGGAAAAAGTGTCCCCTTGCCCTCTTCCAGCTGATTCTGACTCAGGGAGTTTACCTAGAGTAAGGGGCCTGACTTTGGGCAGGTCCATCCTATCTCCTGCCCTTCTCTGTCCTCGGGCCTCCTAGTTTGTCTTTTATTGTACCCTACCCTCTGTTGAAGCTGGATTCTAGCTCAGACCCTTCCTCCTGCTACTCCTTTGTTGTACTGAGCCCCCTTCCGGCCTCTCCAACCTCCCTGCTTGGAGACACTTGGCAGTCACCGAGGAGAGACGAATGCTAAGAAGCTCCATGCTGCCAAAATGCAAAGGCAAAGTTTGGTGGGCACTGGCAGCAAACGGGGCTCCTCCCAACCTCAGGGAGCAGGAACTACCACGCTTATTCCCTCTGAAAAAGAGGCAGTTCCTAGAATTCCTCATGTGGGCACAGCAGGGATTTGAAGCTGTTCTGAGAAAGTCTGTGTGACCTCTGTTAATGGCTTTTTTCTTTTTCTTTTTTTTTTGTCCAGCGGTTATTAAAATGCAAAGTACTTGAAAAATCAGGCTGCATGGGGGAGAATGAAGTTGGAGGCTGTGTCCTGCTAGTGAATGGGAAGACACCATTTGCCCAGTTGATGAGCATATGTCACATAATTGCCCTTCCTGAAGCCCCCATCCCCTGGATGACAGACTCCATGGAGGAAGGCAGCAGGGGGTCGGGAACAAGTTCTGGATTGGGTTGTAAGGTTGAGAGCATTTTAGGTGTCACATGGAGCTCTGTCAAGCCCAGCAGATTCAGCCTGAGTAAGTTATGAAACTTTCCTCTCTGAGCTTCCCCATCTTCAGAAAATGAGGGGCAAGTCTGTTGTGTGATTTTTATGTAACTAGGAAAGAATATAAGTGCCATATGGTATAAAGTACGGGCATAAATATTGTTTGTGCCAAATGTAGGGTGCAGGTGGCAAATGGCACAAGTGACAAAGCAGGAGAAGGATTAACGGAGTGCCAAGAGTCTTCCATGGAGAGGAGGCTTTGCGTGTACCTTAAAAGATGAAAGGCATTGGAACAAAGTAAGACCAGTTGAGTAGGGGGCAGATGAGCTGATGCTGGGAGGAACCCTGTGTGGGTGACCTGATTGGACCCGAGGAGGATGCTGGGAATGACCAGAAAGTGAAGCTCAACAGAGAAAGCTGGTCCAGGCCATGCCATGGTGGGAGTGTGAGTGTAGGGGAGAAGATGCTTGCTCTAAGCAATGTGAAAGCTCTTGCTTTTAAACAGAATGAATCTGCTGTGAGTGATACCCTCCCCCCTAGCCAGAAGAGGCGAAAGGTAACCAGGGCAGTCAGAGGAGGGCAGGACTCTCAGCCATTGGCTCATGTGACCCCAAGGAGGCTTTGGGTTCCTGCAGCTGAGGGATCTGATTCTCATGAGACACATCCTTTTGTCACCTTTCTGCCAAGGAGGCCAGCCAAGTGGCACAGGCTGGTGGGGATTAGAGTCAGGGAGTATGAGAGGAGGAAAACAAGCTTTCCACTGTGGCCGGAGCATGAGACAGTGACACCTGCATGACCCCCAAGCATGAGGTAGCGGGCAGACACCCAACTCTGGCAGTGGAGAGGCGGCGGCACCCGGCCATCAAGAGGGCTCTTCAAGGAAACTCTGAAGCTCCTCCTCAACATTTTCATTAACTGACTTCATGCCCACTGGGCACTGGCCTTGGTCTGGTGGCAAGGCCCCTGTGCCATGGTACCTGTACAGGGGAATGCTCGGGTTTCCTGTACCCACAGCCCAGCCCTGGGTGAAGTGTCCACGAGTTACAGGAACTTGTGCTCTAAGAACTCTGCTGGGCCTTGCTTCAGGTACTTGGATCCTGAAATTCCCTGTCCAGTTCCCTGAGCCTAAACTCAAGGCCAATGTGAGCTTCTAACACAAATCTGTCTTGTCAGGTAGTGTGGGCCATGCATGGGTATACACACCCATAGGCCTCAGGGGGTGGTTCAGGGGTGGGTTGTAGGGTGGAGCTTGGACCTGGGGGCTGGGTGTTCATGTCCACACACCAAGCCCCTTTCTAGTGATAGATGCAGATACAGTTGGAAGCAAGTTCTAAATTCCAACTTGGCCCTCAAGATGTTAAGAAAGAGTGTTTGAAAAGGTAGGGAGAGGATGCACTGGAATTTAGTAACTGGTAGCTTCATTTGTAACTTCCGGGTATTTGGATGTACAGAAGACAGGCTCTATTGTACTTTTCCCCGGGACTCCCAAAGGTTAGACAGAGGATAGAACTACATTTCTTAACTTACTAGAGCCTTCCTCTCATTCACATCAGTATTGAGAGTCATTTTGTCTGTGAAGAGCCTTTCTGCCTCCTGCCAGGCCTGTAGGTGCCATACACAGAGCTGATGGGCAAACCCAAAAGACTCAAGGCCTCAGTGAGCCCCAAGTCTGTCTGCACCCCTCCCCCCAGCTAGCTGCAGGAGACCAGCGAGAGCCCTGCACTCTCCCAGGGTCTTCCCATGGCCTCCACCAGCTCACAAGGCCTGGGATCCCTCTGCAGGCTCTGCCTTACATGGGGGCACAGTGGGTCCCCGGTGATGCTGAGGGAACTTGGAAGATGCCCGTGGCCTCCCAAAGTTCCCGCTCTGCCACATGTCCTTTGCCTCCAGTAGCCAAGGCCTTAAATAGCTCCACAGGCACTAGAAGCTCGCACTTACTTCAGGGCTGTCTCTTCCTCATTCTCTGGGTTTGCTCAGGTTGCTCTGTATACTTTGAATATCTCTCTCCCTGCATCTCAAAGGCAGATAACTCAATAAAGAAGGCTGGAGAGCCCAGACAGAAACATGCATCTCTTCTTAAAAGTCTTAAAAAGTCTGCATTATTATTGTCATTATTATTATTAATGTAATTAATACTCATAAAAATAACTCAGAAGAGTTGAACATGAGAAGCAGAAGCTCCCTCCCCGCCTCGTGTCCCCGCCACTCTTCTCCAGGGAAGACCGCAGAGCACAGTTGCTCCTGCCCCTTGCGGCAGCTGTATGTGCTCATCCAAGGCTGGACTTGGTCCTTCCGGTTGTTATTTGAGGTCTCCAAGGCAAAGGGATTCCAGAAAGATGACAAGAGCACTCTATAGGGAGCCTAGGGAGCAGTACTAGAGTGATGGGACCAAAAGTGGACAATCACTGCATGAAGGGCACAGAGATGACACTGTGCAAGTCAGGGATTCCTAGGGAGGAGGTTGCACAAGTGTAGGTGAGGTGTGTGCACAGGATGGCAGAGAGCTCACAGGGTGCTGGGACTAAGAACAAAGTCAGGGAGAAGACTGAAGAAAGGTGAGGACAGCCAGCTCCTCAAGATGTGGGTAGTGACCAGCATTGGGTTTGGAGGTTGAGTCCTTCACAAGAGGTCTGCTCTATGCAGACTGATTTGGAGTAGCTGGTATGTTTAGGAACCACACATGCAGATAAAATTCAGAGCATCCAGTAATAGTGTAAT